GTCGCATTGCTCATGCACACAATTTGCGTGACCTGTTTAAATACATAAAATTTTTTTTTTTTTTTTTGTTATTTTATATTTATGTTAATTGATATATTTATATAATATTTATAAATATATAATTCAAAAAAATGAAAAAATTAAAAAAAAACTTTATCAATACAATATTTAATACAAACTCAAAATAAAAATTACCATAATTTAAAAAAACTAAAATTAAAAAAAATACAATATAAACTAAAAAACAATTTAGTATCGGTATTATGAAAATATATTTTGTTTAATCTACCGGAAGACTATAAAATACATTTTTTTTTTTTTTTTTGTGGCATTTTATATTAGATGTAATATTTTTTATATTAAAGGTAATGTTTATTTGATTAAATAAATGCTTAATTTTATTAAATTAGTATAATTTTCAAAGTAATTATTATTTAATAAAAATATCATTCACAATATTTAATTAATATATATATAAATAATTAATGAAATAGATTAATTTTTAATATTAATAGAAATAAAATAAAAGAGAATATTCTAAGGAACATTCTTTTTGGTGTAATGTTTGGTACAATAGATTTGAGATGCAATAATGTTTCACACAAAAAATCACACCAATTTGGTTTTTGTGGTTAGAGATAGTCTTAATAGTTAGTTGTTCAATCAATAATTAAAAATAAACAAAAAACATACCCCACCCATTGATAATCAGTATTTAACAATGAAATAAACAATACACCCTACCTACTGACAATCAGCATTTAACAATGAAATAAACAACACACCTACCTACTAACGATCAATAATAAAAAATCAACAAACTCCGACAACCCCACCCTGTGAATAACAAAAAACCAATAAAAGGAAAAGTTACCTAGCCTAATACTGGAGACAACCACATCCGACAAACCCTAAACCCAAAAAGGTTTGCTCTTTGTGCTTCACGTTCGTAGAACACTTTAACCGAAAACTTTCTTATTTTTCTTTTTATTATGTTTCAATCAAACCAGATTTGAAGATGGAAAAGAAAAATTAAGTAGATTTCATTAGGGTATTTTCTTTTTCTTGGTAAGATTTGTCCAATGATTGCTTAATTGTTTGGTCACGCGATTAGGCTAAGTTTTTAATCGGGGCAGGTTTTTCGTTATGGGTGGTTTTGGTTATTTTGGATGCATTTTGTGTTTTTTGTGGAATTAAAATTGGAGAAAAGTCCACATCAACGCTACATATACATGTCAACTCTCATAAATTTCCACATACACATTTTACAATTAAAAAAATTCTACGTCATTTATTATTTATTTTTAACGGTGTTAGAAGTCAATCTCTAAAGTGTTTAACGTACAAGTGTGATACCTTTAATAAAAGTAATTAATAGTTTGATACCTTCAACAGAAAAAATATAGTTTAGTATAAAAATCATAATTCAATACCTTATGATGTATTTAAGCTTTGAAGTTTTTAACATTGTTTTAAAACCCGGACCGGAAGGCAAACCTTTTTGCTGTCCAGGTCACGGTTCAATCGGTCCAACCGGTTGGACCGGTCGGTTGGACCGGTGACGTCAGCAATATTTTATTTTTAAAAAATTACATATTAACCCCTTAAATCTTAATATATTACAAAAATTCCCCTAAAAAAGTTCAAATTGGTCCCTAAAATTTTTATTTATTCCAAAAATACCCCAATAAAATTACCAATTAATCTCTAAACTTTTTATATATCTTCAAAATACCCCTATAAAATCACAAAGTAACCCTCATAATTTTAAAATATTTCAAAAAAACCTTTGAACACTTTAAGGAAGTTTCAAAAGTGAGATTTACCTTTCCTGTTATATTTCAGAAACATCGCTGTGTACAGATTTTCTTAGAAGTGAATTTCTTTGTGGTCTAAAACCCAACAAATTAACAATTTTCAACCATTTTTTTTTGCCTTTTTCATGACATGTTAAACATATACTTCTGTGATGCAAAAAAAAAAAAGTAGTGCTAGAGTGACCAAGTGCGTACTTGATTGTATTTTTTTTTTGTTGTTTTGTTGCTTCTTCCATACCACTTATGTGCATAGGGTCCATTTCCTTGTCAAATCCCTTTTAGTTGTTCCTTCTCATTTCACAATTGTTTTCTTTCTTTCTTCTTTTTATTTTTTTATTTCTGATAATTACTTTTCTTTGTTCTAAAACGGCAACGATTCAGGTACTGAAGAAGGCTGGTCGTCCATCAGAACGTGTTGTGAGCCATGAGAACTGTCGATTTATGTCTCCGACAGAGCATGAATGTGTGCAGTGCCATGAAATAACAAAAGCAGCTGGAACTGAAGAAGCAGAAGCAGATGCTGAGTATGATAATGCTCTCAATGCCATTAGAGGTGTTCAGGATGCTGTGACTACCATAAATGAACATTTAGAGGAAGTAGATATGAAATTGCGGCACTTGACTGAGTGACTTAATATAATATTCTTGGCCAGGTCTGAAAAATCTGGTAAGCAAAGGCTTCAGAAGAAATGACCAAAACATTAAAAAGAAAAAAATGATCAGATATGCTGATTAAAATTGCTTGGCACATTGGTTTTCATTCAAAATTAAAGATTGTTTGAGTTGTTAAATGTACATAAGATTCTTTTATTCGCCATAATTTTCTTTTTATGTTTAAAATATGCCTGGAGTCGCTATAGTACATGTTGAAATGTTACTGGATCTGTAGTAACTATTGATTGTTTGCATGATTATCGAAGTACATAATGTCGATTCTAATCCGATGATTGTTCGGTCTGATTTTGGATTGTTAGTGTAGCCATTCCATTATTGTATGAGGGATGATGCCCTTGAAATATAGCAGGATGGAGAATGATCCCGTCTGCAAGGTTCCCTAAAGAGAGAGATTAGCTGATTGTCACATGAGCATATAGGTTTGCCCCCATTCATAATCCCTAGTCTGCCATATTCATAATCAATGCCTCATTCATCATTCAATCATTTTATGTTTAGCCCTTTCACACTTAGATAGTTGCACATCTATTTTATTCTTCCTTAACTATTGTTTTAGTTCTCTTATCAATACCATGAGTTATCTTTACCCTACTCAAAAAGTGATTTGTTATAATTGGATGTCAATTCCTATTACTGTAGGTCATAGGACATGTATGTGTTTCGTTGCAAGTTTTGACAATGAATTACCAGAATTCTGCTCATGATGCATAAACATAAAAGGGACAATTTCTAACATTACACTTGACACCAAGCTTCTGTTTGTTGCCTGCATATGCTAAACCTATTTTGAACTCTCCTTTTGACACAATATTTGGTCCTGCATCCTTGAACTGTTTTGGGTTATCAAAGGCTAGGTTTCATGGAATTTCGGGAAGGAACATTTAGGATCGTACGCAACAGTTTTCCTAGGCCTTCTTTTACCATGCTCAACTTCATCTTCCCTCCCCACTGATGTTTATAAGGTACCAGCTCTAACTATAGCACTCTCCACCATCTCACCTATATTGACTTGAGATTTTACACCTTCCTCATTAAGATCCTCTCCCCTCTATCATTAGCTCTCGTACGATTGCTGTTTTGGCAGCCCTTCTTTTTGCCTTAAACTCTCTCACAAATTTTCTATACTCTAAAGCTCAAAATCAGACTCATAAGCTAGCTCCTCAACCCCAAATCCTATCACTATCACTATCACCATCTGAGCTTCCATCCCACTATCCTCACTACCCTCAAACTCGATCATTCTCCCTTATATTACAATCACCCTCCGAAAAATTACGCTCTTGCGCTTGAATACCCTGACTTTGCCCTTGAATAAAATGACTCTCTTGCCTGAATACCCTTTCAATCCATTATCCCCAATAATATGCGTTTATACCCTCCATTCAATGGCAACCTAATTCACAAACAAACTTAAATTTATACGACCAACAACACAACATGTGCATCAGAGTGAAACACTCAACACAACTTTTCAACTAAATAAAAAATGTGACAACTCACCTTTTTCTCTTGTTTTTTATCTGCAATCTTCGATTCTGCTAGGTCCTACCACTCTTACACCTCTTCAATCATAGCACTAAAACAAAACAAAGTAATAAAGTTTGTTGGGTATTCAATCAGACAAAAGTAATAAAAACTAAGGGCATCTCCAATCCAACGCCATTTTGTGTAAAACACAATGACGTGAAAGATGGTCTCCAACCCAACGCCAAGCATTACACCAATTTGGTGTAAATGCAAGTGCCACCCAAATTTGGTTACCATGTCTCATCACACAATTTGGCTGCACTGTTTAAATACTATAATTTTTTTTTTTTTTTTTTTTTTTTTTTTTTATTTATTTATGTTAATTTGATTATTATTTATATTAATATTTATAATAATTATATAATTCAAAAATATAAAAATTAAAAAAAAACTTATTCAATACAATATTTAATTACAATAACTCAAATAAAAATTAACACTAATTTAAAAACCTAAAATTAAAAAAAATACATAAACTAAATAACATTTAGTATTCGTAATTATAAGAATATATTTTAATCTACCGGAATACTATAAAAATATTTTTTTTTTTTTTTTTTTGGATTTTATATTAGTTTAATATTTTTTCTATATTAATGTAATGTTTATTTGAGTCGTTGATGGCCAGATTTCTGGCCGTTGTTAATTGCTAGATTTATGGCCGTTAACAATGGCCAAGATATGGCTGTCGTCAACAACCAAATCCACAATGGATTTAGTTGGAAAAGGAAAAATTGACGCTCAATCGGTCAGATCCAACTGGTCGTGTCTCGCTCTGGCGTTGACTGTGGCAGCGGTGGCTATTGGCAGGTGATAATGGCTTTGGTGGTGGGCTGTTTTTGTTAATTTATAAAATTTTATTATTAAATGTAATTATTAAATATTTTGAGTTTAATAAAATAAAACTAGATTTTGAATTGTATAGTTAATATTAAAAAAGAACATATTTTCTACTTAATTAGATAAAATAGTAAAATAGAATAAAGTATGAAATGTTAATCAAACACAGCGATTATTCTCTCGATCCAAAATAAAAGTCTGTCCGAGTGATGAAACGGAAGAAAGCAAAACAGAATAAACAAAAATGGAAGATTTTGAGAAGAAAGTAAAAATAACTGAATCAATGGAGATTGAAGCAACAGCAGACGAAGAAGCAAACAACAAGTCCTCGAAAACCCTCATTCTGCTCCGCAGATTCCTCGCTGTTCAGCAGCGTAGAGCCCAAGCTTATGCCAAGCTTAAACGGTACGCTTTTTTTCTCATTCATTTTTCTACTATTAAATCAACTCAAATTTCATTTGATGATTTTCGCTGGAAATAACATTCATGAGCAAATCTAAAATTGGAACATACCCACTTCATTATTATTCTAAACCCTGAAATGGGAATGAATCAATGAACCGACTGCCTGTAGTTTCTGGGTTTAATTTCATGAAGGCTTCACTATCAGGTCTTTACGGTTGAGACAGATGGGTTAAATCAAAATTGTAAATTTGATTTATTTGTGAAATCAAGATTATAAATTTTTTTTATATCTTAACATCATATTTTATTAAGTACAAGTTATGAGTTGTTTTTGTTCGTATAATTTTTGCTTGGTTATGTTAAGTTTTGACTAAGGACACTAGTTTAGGAATACTCAGGTCGCTAGAGTCTTGAGAATATATTGAATGATGCGTAGAAAATCTCATTGATGCATCTTTTGAAGAGAGGCTTATAAATGTATTCCTTTACGTGTGCCCTAAGAGAACGTATTTGTAATTTTAATCTTGGCAGGGGCTTTTCTGAGTATATGGTTTCAGGAGGGGAATTAGCTTACCAACAACTTTGCAGTGAAATTACAGCGGAGTTCAATGACTGCTCTAAACAAGTTCGTGATCATTCAAAGATCTTAATGTTTTGTTTTTTTTTTTTTTTTTTTTTTTTTTTCTCGTTTTTAGGTATGGAAATTTCATTTTATGTTTTGATCTAACTCTATGTCTTTCTGCTTGTGAGTAGGTACTTGAAATGGAGTCTCTGTTTCGGAATCCTGACTTTTGCCTAGTTGATCTAGCCCAGCTGCTCAGGGCTGTCCAAACGCAGGAAAAGCAAAAACTAAATCTGGTATTTTACTGTACTTTGATTGCTTCTTCATTTTAATTTATTTTCTTGTTAGAAAATTTTGGACTGGATGGTATTTCTCAACTTTATCTTTCTTTGCTGCTGCACACTATTTGTTTATGTGAAAAAGGGTTGCTTTTGTGTTGATGATAATCTTCTCCTATGTGGTAAATGGCCCTCCTCGTTCTATAATGAAATTTGTCATGTTGTTTCTTAACATTATATTAGAAATAGTGTCTGGATATAGATGCAGAATTTCATTTGGTGCTGCATGAGTGAAACATTCTGTCTCCTAGAGTAAAGATAAAACTTCTTCAGTGTTAAAATCCCAGCTTTAAAATGAAATTTTAGCAACTAAAAAATTCTGGAGTTATTACTATTGAGAGTTTATATTCTATCAAAAAAAAAAAAATGGTTATGAATTTAATCAGAGACTGTTTTATGATATGACGGTTGAAAACTGTGTAATTTAGAACTATTAGTGGAAATTGTGCTATGTTAAACAATAATGCTTTCAACCAGAAATAAGAGTATCATTGGTATATTGATAAAAAGACTGGATTGTTTCTATACTGAATATGATTATCACGGTTCTGGTGGTGATCATGATGATGTTGATGTCCCTGGTGGTGATTTTCTATTCTTACAAAGTTGATGGCCACTATGTTGATCTTATTAAGTGATTTCTTATTTAAAAAGAAAGATAAAAAGTAGTGATTTCTTCAAAGTTAACCTGTGACACTTTAAGGAAGTTTCAAAAGTGAGATTTACCATTTCCTGTTATATTTTCAGAAACATCGCTGTGTACAGATTTTCTTAGAAGTGAATTTCTTTGTGGTCTAAAACCCAACAAATTAACAATTTTCAACCATTTTTTATTTTGCCTTTTTCATGACATGTTAAACATTATTACTTCTGTGATGCAAAAAAAAAAAGTAGTGCTAGAGTGACCAAGTGCGTACTTGATTGTATTTTTTTTTGTTGTTTTGTTGCTTCTTCCATACCAGCTTATGTGCATAGGGTCCAATTTCCTTGTCAAATCCCTTTTAGTTTGTTCCTTCTCATTTTCACAATTGTTTTCTTTCCTTTCTTTCTTTTTTATTTTTTTTATTTCTGATAATTACTTTTCTTTGTTCTGAAGACGGCAACGATTCAGGTACTGAAGAAGGCTGGTCGTCCATCAGAACGTGTTGTGAGCCATGAGAACTGTCGATTTATGTCTCCGACAGAGCATGAATGTGTGCATGTCCATGAAATAACAGAAGCAGCTGGAACTGAAGAAGCAGAAGCAGATGCTGAGTATGATAATGCTCTCAATGAAGCCATTAGAGGTGTTCAGGATGCTGTGACTACCATAAATGAACATTTAGAGGAAGTAAGATATGAAATTGCGGCACTTGAAGCTGAGTGACTTAATATAATATTCTTGGCCAGGTCTGAAAAATCTGGTAAGCAAAGGCTTCAGAAGAAAATGACCAAAACATTAAAAAGAAAAAAAATGATCAGATATGCTGTATTATAAATTGCTTGGCACATTGGTTTTCATTCAAAATTAAAGATTGTTTGAGTTGGTTAAATGTACATAAGATTCTTTTATTCGCCAATAATTTTCTTTTTATGTTTAAAATATTGCCTGGAGTCATGCTATAGTACATGTTGAAATGTTACTGGATCTGTAGTAACTATTGGATTGGTTTGCATTGATTATCGAAGTACATAATGTCGATTCTAATCCGATGATTGTTTCGGTCTGATTTTGGATTGTTAGTGTAGCCTATTCCATTATTGTATGAGGGATGATGCCCTTGAAATATAGCAGGATGGAGAATGATCCCGTCTGCAAGGTTCCCTAAGAGAGAGGATTAGTCTGATTGTCACATGAGCATTAAGGGTTTAGCCCCCATTCATAATCCCATAGTCTGCCATATTCATAATCAATGTCCTCATTCATCATTTCAATCATTTTATGTTTAGCCCTTTCACACTTAGATAGTTGCACATCTATTTTTAATTCTTCCTTAACTAATTGTTTTAGTTCTCTTAGTCTAATACCATGAGTTATCTTTACCCTACTCAAAAAGTGATTTGTTATAAATGTGGATGTCAAATTCCTATTACTGTAGGTCATAGGACATGTATGTGTTTCGTTGCAAGTTTTGACAATGAATTTACCAGAATTCTGCTCATGATGCATAAACATAAAAGGGACAATTTCTAACATTACACTTGACACCAAGCTTCTGTTTGTTGCCTGCATATGCTAAACCTATTTTGAACTCTCCTTTTGACACAATATTTGGTCACTGCATCCTTGAACTGTTTTGGGTTATCAAAGGCTAGGTTTACATGGAATTTCGGGAAGGAACATTTAGGATCGTACGCAACAGTTTTCCTAGGCCTTCTTTTACCATGCTCAACTTCATCTTCCTCTCCCTCACTAGATGTTATAAAGGTACCAGCATCTGAACTATAGCACTCTCCACCATCTTCATCTATATTGACTTGAGATTTTACACCTTCCTCATTAAGATCTCTCTCCCCTCTATCATTTAGCTCTCGTACGATTGCTGTTTTGGCAGCCCTTCTTTTTGCCTTAAACTCTCTCACAAATTTTCTATACTCGTAAAGCTCAAAATCAGACTCATAAGCTAGCTCCTCAACCTCAAAATCGCTATCACTATCACTATCACCATCTGAGCTTCCATTCCCACTATCCTCACTACCCTCAAATCTCAGATCATTCTCCCTTATATTACAATCACCCTCCGAAAAATTACGCTCTTGCGCTTGAATACCCTGACTTTGCCCTTGAATAAAATGACTCTCTTGCCCTTGAATACCCTATTCAAGTCCATTATCCCCAATAAAATATGCGTTTATACCTCCATTCAATGGCAAACCTAATTCACAAACAAACTTAAATTATACGGACCAACAACATGTGCATCAAGAGTGAAACACTCAACACAACTTTTCAAACTAGAATAAAAAATAGTGACAACTCACCTTTTTCTCTTGTTTTTATCTTGCAATCTTCAGATTCTGCTAGGGTCCTACCACTCTTACACCTCGTCAATCATAGCACTAAAACAAAACAAAGTAATAAAGTTTGCTTGGGTATTCAATCAAGACAAAAGTAATAAAAACTAAGGGCATCTCCAATCCAACGCCATTTTGATGTAAAAACACCAAAATGACGTGAAAGATGGTCTCCAACCCAACGCCAAGCATTACACCAATTTGGTGTAAATGCACAGTGCCACACCAAATTTGGTGTCGCATTGCTCATGCACACCAATTTGGCGTGACACTGTTTAAATACTATAAATTTTGTTTTTTTTTTTTTTTTTTTTTTTTGTTATTTGTATATTTATGTTAATTTGATATTATTTATATTAATATTTATAAATATATAATTCAAAAAATGATAAAAATTAAAAATAAAACTTTATCAATACAACTATTTAATTACCAAACTCAAAATAAAAATTACACATAATTTAAAAAAACTAAAATTAAAAAAAATACAAATAAACTAAAAAACAATTTAGTATGTCATTATAAAATATATTTTTTTAATCTACCGGAATATAAAATACATTTTTTTTTTTTTTTTTGTGGATTTTATATTAGATGTAATATTTTTCTATATTAAATAATGTTTATTTGATTAAAGTAATGCTTAATTTTATTAAATTAGTATAATTTTCAAAGTAATATATTAATTAAAAATATCATTCACAATATTTATTAATATATATAAATAATTAATGAAATAGATTAATTTTATATAATAGAATAAAATAAAAGAGAATATTCTAAGGAACATTCTTTTTGGTGTAATGTTTGGTCAATAGATTTGAGATGCAATAATGTTTCACACAAAAAATCACACCAATTTGGTTTTTGTGGTTAGAGATAGTCTTAATAGTTAGTTGTTCAATCAATAATTAAAAATAAACAAAAAACATACCCCACCCATTGATAATCAGTATTTAACAATGAAATAAACAATACACCCTACCTACTGACAATCAGCATTTAACAATGAAATAAACAACACACCTACCTACTAACGATCAATAATAAAAAATCAACAAACTCCGACAACCCCACCCTGTGAATAACAAAAAACCAATAAAAGGAAAAGTTACCTAGCCTAATACTGGAGACAACCACATCCGACAAACCCTAAACCCAAAAAGGTTTGCTCTTTGTGCTTCACGTTCGTAGAACACTTTAACCGAAAACTTTCTTATTTTTCTTTTTATTATGTTTCAATCAAACCAGATTTGAAGATGGAAAAGAAAAATTAAGTAGATTTCATTAGGGTATTTTCTTTTTCTTGGTAAGATTTGTCCAATGATTGCTTAATTGTTTGGTCACGCGATTAGGCTAAGTTTTTAATCGGGGCAGGTTTTTCGTTATGGGTGGTTTTGGTTATTTTGGATGCATTTTGTGTTTTTTGTGGAATTAAAATTGGAGAAAAGTCCACATCAACGCTACATATACATGTCAACTCTCATAAATTTCCACATACACATTTTACAATTAAAAAAATTCTACGTCATTTATTATTTATTTTTAACGGTGTTAGAAGTCAATCTCTAAAGTGTTTAACGTACAAGTGTGATACCTTTAATAAAAGTAATTAATAGTTTGATACCTTCAACAGAAAAAATATAGTTTAGTATAAAAATCATAATTCAATACCTTATGATGTATTTAAGCTTTGAAGTTTTTAACATTGTTTTAAAACCCGGACCGGAAGGCAAACCTTTTTGCTGTCCAGGTCACGGTTCAATCGGTCCAACCGGTTGGACCGGTCGGTTGGACCGGTGACGTCAGCAATATTTTATTTTTAAAAAATTACATATTAACCCCTTAAATCTTAATATATTACAAAAATTCCCCTAAAAAAGTTCAAATTGGTCCCTAAAATTTTTATTTATTCCAAAAATACCCCAATAAAATTACCAATTAATCTCTAAACTTTTTATATATCTTCAAAATACCCCTATAAAATCACAAAGTAACCCTCATAATTTTAAAATATTTCAAAAACCCCCTAGAGACCTAAACCGGACCGGAGAAGCTACCGGTTCACGGTCCAACCGGTCCAACCGGCCGGTCCGGTTTTTAAAACAGAGGTTTTTAATAGACAAGGAAGTTAAGGATAAAGCTTGTAATGGATAACAAACAATACTTGTCATATTTATAAAAGGTTATACTTTGCCTTATTTTAAAATTGAATGTTACAAATACCATGCAACCCATATTGCTATTTCCTTTTATCCATTCACAAAAACAAAACAGGCATTTGCCTCAAAATACAAATCAGTAAAAACCGTTAATAACATTTCTCACAGTACCAAAAAAAATCTGGTATACTACATAAAAGTTAGCATATTCTAACCCTAACTGCCAGTCTTGCAGAATTTAGCAGCAAGTTTAACATCAAAGAATGAGATAGTGTGGAAGGAAAAACTGTACCATCCTCCGTGTGAAGATAATGAAAATTCCATGGACTGCCATCACACACAAGCTTTATCCTGAACATTTTCAATGAGAAGAAACAATATTTCTTCACAGCAATACCCAATTCATTATTACATGCCGAGGGAGCAAATAACTATACAAAATGTTTTTCCAAGAATACATATATATTTAAAAAAAAAAAAAAAAAGAGAGAGAGAGAGAGGGGCTATGACTGTAATTGACTTTTATCAGAATTTACAGTTGCCCATCCTTATAGCGACCTCCAAAGCAATGTCAAAAGGAGCAATGGAAGACAAGATGGATATTTGGGCATGTTTTAAATCTGCGAAAGTTACAGTTTTACAAATAGTACGGTAACAAAACTGGCCACAGCTCACACCACCAGAGATATAGAATGCTTTTCCGTTTAAAGAATGACCATGTGGAGAAAAAAACATGGATTTAACCACATATCTGTCATCAATCACCTGTATGCATGCTAAAATTGGCTCCATCCTCAACTGATAGCCTGACTTTATTCTATGTTACAACTTACAATGAACAGGATGCAAATAAAATTATGGACTTGGTCCCTTACCATCTTCAAGAGAGCAAGGAAATCAAACTTGCAACTTGTAAAGATGACTCAAAGAAGTAAATGTCAGCCTGAACGGTACACTAGTTCAGAATATCTTTTATCATCGAAGTCAGGCCCATCCATCTGGTCAGTGAGTGGTTCCAAAATCTTGAGCCTATGCACTCATCACAACCTAGAAGAGACGGAAACTGATAAAGAAAAAGAAAAAGAAAAAACTTCATATATCACAAATACAGACTTTGATAACTACATCTCAATGTTCATTAAATTGGACCAATTTTAAGATGTATTATTTTGGCAGTTTTTTTTTTATTATTTATATTTATGTTAATTTGATTATTATTTATACTAATATTTATAATAATTATATAATTCAAAAAATAATGAAAAATTAAAAACAAAACTTTATTCAATGCAAATATTAAACTACAATAACTCAAAATAAAAATTAACACTAATTTAAAAACACTAAAATTAAAAGAAAATATAACATAAACTAAAATAACAATTTAGTATTCTGATAGATTATAATCTACCGGAATACTATAAAATATATATTTTTTTTTGGTATTTTATATTAGATGTAATATTTTTCTATATTAAATATAATGTTTATTTGATAAAGTAAATGCTTAATTTTATTAAATTAGTATAATTTTCAAAGTAATTATTATTTAATAAAATATCATTCACAATATTTAATTAATATATATATAAATAATTAGTAAAATAGATTAATGTTAATTATTAATAAAAATAAAAAAAGAAAATATTCTAAAAAATATTCTTTTTTGTATAATGTTTGGTGCAATAGGTTGGAGTGCAACAGTGTTTCACACCAATTTGGTGTGAAACTTGCATTAATTTGGTGTTCGTGGTTGAAGATGGTCATAACAGTTGGTTGTTCAATCAATAATTAAAAAAAAAAACAAAAAAAAAAAACACACCCCACCCATTGATAATCAGTATTTAACAATTAAATAAACAATACACCCTACCCACTGACAATCAGTATTTAACAATGAAATAAACAACACACCCACCTACTAACAATCAATAATAAAAAATCAACGAACTTCGACAACCTCACCCTATGAATAACAAAAAACCAATAAAAGGAAAAGTTACCTAGCCTAATACTGGAGACAACGACATCCGACAAACCCTAAACCCAAAAAGGTTTGCTCTTCATGCTTCACGTTTGTAGAACACTTTAACCGAAAACTTTCTTATTTTTCTTTTTATTATGTTTCAATCGAACCAGATTTGAAGATGGAAAATAAAATTTAAGTAGATTTCATTAGGATATTTTCTTTTTCTTGATAAGATTTATTCAATGATTGCTTAATTGTTTGGTTACACGATTAGGATAAGTTTTGAATCAGGGCAGGTTTTCGTTCTGGGTGGTTTTGGTTATTTTTGATGCATTTTGTGCTTTTTGTGGAATTAAAATTGGTGAAAAGTCCCCATCAAGGCTACATGTATATGTCAACTCTCATAAATTTCCACATTCACATTTTACAATTAAAAAAATTCTACATCATTTATTTTTAACGGTGTTAGAGGTCAGTCTCTAAAGTGTTTGACGATGTACAAATTTGGTATATTTAATAGAAACAATTAAAAGTTTGATACCTTCAATAAAAAAAAATATATAATTCAGTATAAAAGTGATAATTGGATAGTAATTAAGCCTTGAAGTTTTTAATAGACAAAGACGTTAAGGATAAAGCTTGTAATGGATAACAAATAATACTTGTCATATTTATAAAAGGTTATACTTTGGCTTATTTTAAAATTGAATGTTACAAATACGATGCAACCCATATTGCTATTTCCTTTTATCCATTCACAAAAACAAAATAGGCATTTGCCTCAAAATACAAATCAGTAAAAACCGTTAATAACATTTCTCACAGTACCAAAAAAAATCTGGTATACTACATAAAAGTTAGCATATTCTAACCCTAACTGCCAGTCTTGCAGAATTTAGCAGCAACTTTAACATCAAAGAATGAGATAGTGTGGAAGGAAAAACTGTACCATCCTCCGTGTGAAGATAATGAAAATTCCATGGACTGCCATCACACACAAGCTTTATCCTGAACATTTTCAATGAGAAGAAACAATATTTCTTCACAGCAATACCCAATTCATTATTACATGCCGAGGGAGCAAATAACTATACAAAATGTTTTTCCAAGAATACATATATATTTAAAAAAAAAAAAAAAAAAGAGAGAGAGAGAGAGGGGCTATGACTGTAATTGACTTTTATCAGAATTTACAGTTTCCCATCCTTATAGCGACCTCCAAAGCAATGTCAAAAGGAGCAATGGAAGACAAGATGGATATTTGGGCATGTTTTAAATCTGCGAAAGTTACAGTTTTACAAATAGTAAGGTAACAAAACTGGCCACAGCCCACACCACCAGAGATATAGAATGCTTTTCCGTTTAAAGAATGACCATGTGGAGAAAAAAACATGGATTTAACCACATATCTGTCATCAATCACCTGTATGCATGCTAAAATTGGCTCCATCCTCCACTGATAGCCTGACTTTATTCTATGTTACAACTTACAATGAACAGGATGCAAATAAAATTATGGACTTGGTCCCTTACCATCTTCAAGACAGCAAGGAAATCAAACTTGCAACTTGTAAAGATGACTCAAAGAAGTAAATGTCAGCCTGAACGGTGCACTAGTTCAGAATATCTTTTATCATCGAAGTCAGGCACATCCATCTGGTCAGTGAGTGGTTCCAAAATCTTGAGCCTATGCACTCATCACAACCTAGAAGAGACAGAAACTGATGAAGAAAAAGAAAAAGGAAAAACTTCATATATCACAAATACAGACTTTGATAACTACATCTCAATGTTCATTAAATTGGACCAATTTTAAGATGTATTATTTTGGCAGCATGATAAGGAAAGGGGAGAGGAGTGGAGAAAACAGTCTTTCTTACCTCTTACCCAGAAACGGCTGCAACTTTGACCCATGTACTATAGATCCCATGTTCTTTGACTCTAAACAGTTACAATGCACATCATAAATACAATGAAGAGAAAAATAAATTTAAAATAATAATAATAATAATAACTGAAAAAAAAAAAAAAAATTGCTGATGATTAAACACTTGATAATTTAAAAATAAAAGAATGCCATGGACATCAACATCATTAAAGCCAACAGAAAGGAAAATAAATGACAGAAAAACTGGTGATGACTCTCAAAAGCCAGCATAAGGGGAAAACTAGAAAATAAAAGACAAATTAACACATCTGAGATTGAAAAGATGAATTTGGAGCATTAAATTTATATTTTGATTAGCCACGCTCAGTAGTCCATGCTGCGACACAGAAGAAATTACATCCTTACTGACCTCTCTAATGCAAACTGAACGTTAATGCCTAGTATACAGCTCTAATACCTTGAATTAACAAATCATTCAATTCAAACTGAAATTGACTCAAGAAGACAACTTTAGACATTGATTATTTTTACATTAGGTAAACCATGTTGAACCAAACACAATATTAAGATACATAAACAGATAATTTAAAATTAAGCAAAAACACCATATTATTGAATCTAAATCATAAGACATTGCTGTCTCTTCCATTAGCCTTTTGACTTACTGGATAACTTCAGAAAACTGGTTTTTTTTTTTTTTTTTTTTTTCCTTCGAGAGCTCTGTTACAATTAATTGTGATTGCAGCATGGTGTTTTAAGAAACCTATCCAGTAGTTTATCTATGATCTTTTCACTTACGTATAAAACATATCTGATACAAATGCATATAGAAAAAATGAAAGTCATAAAATCAGTAAGAATCTTCACTTACAAGTACAAGTCATCTAGAACGATTTCAGGAAACAGATTGAAATAAAAGTGAAAGCCATCTGGACTTATATCTCTGCATAGAAGACCTGGCAATAATATTTAATTATTTGTTAGATCCGAAAACTCATTAATATTCTGAGAAAGCAGCAGAGCATTATACCTCTGCTCTCAGCAGTTAGAAGATGCTCCTTGGCCATAGCTGGAGCAATCCCTAATGCCATTGCAGCATCACTGGCACTTATTCCAGCTTGAAGGGCTTCAGGCTTCGTCACCAGGGCTTTGATTCTAGCAAAAACCTGCTCTTAACAGCAGTAGTTAGTGATTATCATACTAATTAAAACTAATGAAGCCAAAGGAAACCATATAATAATTATATGTTTGACTCAACAGGAGATTACACATTCAATATGACAGTGAAGGTGGTAAGACTGAAGTCAAATTGCCTGCTGCCACCTAGCTTCTCTCTACATGGTCAGAAAAGAAAAATGTCACCATTTTTTTTTTTTTTTTTTTTTTTCCTTATTTCACTAACAATAAACATGACAGAAAATAGCAGCTAATTTCTTTTATGAGTTTTAGATAGGAAAAAAACTATCAGCTAAAAGTAGGAGCGGCACATGGCACATTTGAAGAGACCTATGGAGAGGCCTGGATTGCAATATATTCATATGAAGCACAGACCAACAAACATAAGATTAATCTAGATATTCATGCAATGAAGATATCCCTAATAATATTAAAGAGTAAAAGATGAGGAATATTTTTTTAGACCCCAAGAGTTAAAAATATACTCAAGGTAAGATTTTATACAGTAGATACTTCTATACACAGCATAGTATTATTGATCGCTACATAACTTTTCTCATATAGAAGTTATGAAATGCAACAGCAATCTTGAGCCTTCAGTCAATTCCATCATCTCCACTCAAAAAGGAAAAGAAATACACTCCAAACATAAACACAAAATGCTTTCAACAAGATGAAACAGCTTAAAGATAAAAGGGATCACCTCCTCATCACTGTGGGACTTGTTCTGGATGACCATGACTCCACTATCGAACTTCCGAAGCATTACTGGACTGTCGAAAAAAGTAAAACACAGAAAATGACTTGAACATTTAGCATTGTCTTATGAGAAAAAGAATAGAGTTATTAAGAGATGAATACAAATATAAATTAGATTCCACATTTTGCACTATAATCTCAAATAGAAGGACACTTTGCCACACAGAAAAGTGAGGAAAATATCCCACTTACACATCAAACTTCTCCCAAAGAGAACATGCTTGCAGCAAATCGTCTGGTGAGATCAATGCTGTGCATAAAGATAGGGCGTAGGGCGGGTGAGTAATTCTCGACTGAAGAACAGGAAACCAAAAAAAAAAAAAAAAACAGAGAGAGAGAAACAAAACAAAGAAAGAAGAAAACCTGTGCCCCGAGCACGATTGAAGAGACAATAGATATCAATGAGATTGATCATTCCTCCAGCTCTCTCTAGCGGAATTTTGACAAAATCTGCCAACTAAGTGTCAAGAAATAATGAAACAGAATTATCCCTTTAGAGACAAAAACTATTTTCGAAAAACATTCTGTTTCTACACAGGCATTTACAAAGTTCATAAAAAACTCAGATAAACAAAACAAAAAATACTATTTGTCACCAGGGTACAAACACAAGAAACATAACATTGCAGAAATTTAATAAGAAGATGAAAGGAGGAAGCACCCTGAAACATGATTAGATCTCTTAAAGAACAAAGTTAGTCTTAAACTTATAAATAAGGCCTAATCTCTAAGGAGTCTCTTCATGTGAGTTCAATGCAAATTGATTCACAAAGTAAGGCATATACAAACGCAAAATGAAGACTTGTGGAGATTCCACTACAAGACCTCTTGGTCAACTTTACTTTGAAAACATGCAAGTTATCAGGAAATCCAAAAGTTTAAATTGGATTTAAATTGTAAAAATAAAAACCATAAGAAGCCTGGTGTACATCTACCCCAATTTCTTCCACTGTCTTGAGATTCCAGCAAATAATTAGTTTAATTCAAATCAAAATCTATTACAAACTTAAACCAATCTACCCTAATTATTCTTTCTTAGACATTTCATTAATTCAACTCAAAATCTATTACAAACTTAAACCAATCTACCCTAATAATTCTTTCTTAGACATTTCGTTTGCCAAATCTTATTTTAGCCCCACGTAAACTGATTGTAAACATATTCCTTCAAATGGTTTTTGAAATCAGTTATTGGAAATATGATCACATCACTTCCATATGTTTTTTCATCTAGAATCCCCAATACACCAAAAGCTACGGACAACTTCTACGATCGTTAGTAAAAGTTCTAGTTGTATTGCTCAAATAACCCTTCTAGACCTAAAAGCTCTTACATTTGACATGCTTTTGATCAAAATAATAATACTATAGAGCTACTTGGGACAACCATGAATAGGTGAGCAACAAACCTGGCGGGACAATTGTTGGTGATACAAGGCACCTGCTGACTCTTTTGTAACTGGAGATATAATACCAACACTCAATAACAATTCTTGCATATCTTCTTTAGAACCCACTTCCTCTTCATTTGTTGAACCAGTATGAGAATTCGAGCCAGACAAAAGTTTCTGCTTCATCTTCTCTGCTAACATCACCATCTCTTTAGCTTTACTCTGTAAATCCAAAACAGTTCTTTAGGTTCAAGCCACCCAAACTAAACAATAACAAAGAATGGCTAAACAAACTTAAATGAAGCCCATAGAGAATCCAATAAAAGCAAATCAAAGACAGAAGCAAACTACCGTGAATCACTTTTTTCGTTTTCTGACTTTACAATAATTTTTAGAATTGTATACAAAAACTGTTTTTAATAATTTTTCAAGTCATTTCTAACAAATCCATTCCAATAAAATATCTTATATCCCCTATTTTCAAAAATGAAAAATTTTGTTCCTATACCAAACAGACCATCAATTTTTACGAAAACTTCTCAAAACATAACACACAATCAATAAACAAACCTCCAGTCCAAACCACATCATTTAACTGCAGCCGAGGGAATTCAGTTTCTTTGATAAACTTGGACATTCAGAACTTCCAAGAGTTATCATTCCTTATACATAAGATTTCATAACAAACACTTTGTACATAAAAACATATTAACAAATTTGAATGAAAACAAAAACAATAAATTTAATACCATGAGAGCATTCAAGTCTTGAAAAGCTTCTTGCATGCTCTTGTCAGTACTCTCCCACTTCTCCTGTTCCCTCCTCAATATGCCCGCCACGCCCACCATTCTCACCGACCCATCACTCCCATACAACCCACCTCGACCTGGACCCGTCCCGGAACTCGAACTTGAACTCAAACCCGACCCAGTCCCACCCACTTTCTCACTGGTCACTTCCCACGCTCTCCCCTTCCAACACTCCCACAACTTCGCCACAAACACCTCCCAATCTCCCTTCCCCCTCACAACAGCCGTGATCACCACAGACTTAGAACCCGTATTCCGACCCGGAACCGAATCCGGACCAGGTTCACCGACCCGGTTGTCGCCAGTGACGGAGACTTGGAAGCGGAAGCGCGGGGAATGGAAGACGGACTTAATGGATCTTTTGGAGGAGAGGATGTGGGTAATGGCGGAAAGCGGGACGGCGGCGGCGGTGGAGGTGGAGTTGGAGTTGGCGGCGGCGGAGGCGGAGGATGAGAGCCAGAGAAGGCGGTGGGTGGTGAGGATTAAGAGGCCGGATTTTAAGGGAGGGAAGAAATTGGGGTTGCTGTTATCGTCGGGTTCGAGGTCGACGTTGGAGAGGAGATTGCATTCGACTTCGTTTTGGAGGAGAACTGGGCGGCCGCTGCTGGTGACGGAGGCTGACGGAAAGAAGTTATTGGTGCTGCCCATTGAAAATGAAATTGGAAATGAGATTGAGATGGATTGATAATCGTTGGTTTGTTAGTTATGGTGAATGATCAGGGCTGAAGAAGACAGAGTGGGGATCTTAACCGTAATTCGGCGAAGCTAGAAGAGTGGACCGTGAGATTGAGGAGGAAAACGACACCGTTCACTACATTTCATGCCTTCATGGGTAGTTTAAACTTTAAAGTAGTTAAATTTGCCATTTACGGTTAATATGCATCAATAAAATGTGTTAAATTCACGCTTAAAAGACTAAAATACCCTTAAATATATATTTTTATATTAAAATGATTAAAACGACAAAATAAAGAAATTAACAGGGAAATTCTGAAAATATGGAAAGGCATTATATAATAAAAGAGGGAGTAAAATGATAGTGAAGAAGAATCATGGAGCTTCTGAACACATGACATCATGTAAACACACTATTTATAATTAACAAACATCCCCACTTTATAATTGCTTATATATTATATGAATCATTGAACAAAAAATCAATAATTATTAAAAAAAAAAAAAACTACTTTATTTTTAATTAAAATGTATCATCTTCATCTTCATCCCAACCCAACATCAAACTCAATTCTAACATTTCTAAAACAAATCCATGAAGATGATACATTTTAATTAAAATGTTATTAACTCAACGTCATACTCAAATCAATCTTTTTCAAAACAATCAACCAAAATGAACACAAACACAAACACAAACTCAAATCAAATTTGGTTTGGCAAATCCATGAACATGAACTCTGTCTTTGCTCATTTCAACATTCAGCCTTCCATAAATTCCTTTCCTTGTCAAATATAAACCTGATGCTTTGTGCCTTATCCAAGTTTATCAAATCCTCACGCATCAAGAAACAATCACTAAAATAAATTGCCTCCAGCATCGAAGACTCTGTCCACAAAAGACTGTAACTTTCTCCTCTAAACAAGCAGGCACCTTCGAATTTTATCGTCTTCAACTTCGGCAGATTTTTCAACACCACCTTTGCATTTTCTGCATTCAAATGGAGACAAGGGTGGTGAATGTGTAGTGATGTGAGCTCAGTGCAGTTTCTGCCAATCTCTTCAATAATTTGTTTGAAATATATGCCACTGAACCTTCCAAAACATATTTGCTTAACATTTTTCCAGTTACTTAGAGCTTTTGCAAACCCTTCTCTTGAAATTCTTGATAACCGAGACAAAACTAAGCTTTCGAGCCCAGGAGTTCTGCAAAATAATAAACATCATCACCTATTTACAAGATTACTTACACTGAGCATAATACAAAATTTCTTTGGTGTCTATTTAAAATCTGAAATTGAACTCTCGCTAATAAGAGTTAACTCTTGTATTACTTAAATTCCGTACTTGAATTCTTGCTAACATGAGTTAAATACAGCATGACCTAAAATCTGGACTTTAACTCTCCCTAACAAGTTGACTCTTGCATGACCTAAAATCCGGACTTCGAGTTAACTCTTGCATGACCTAAAATCCGAACTTCAACTCTCACTAACAAGAGTTAACTCTTACATGATCTAAAATTTAGACTTCAACTCTCACTAACAACAATTAACTCTTACACAACCTAAAATCCAAACTTCAACTCTCACTAACAACAGTTTAACTCTTGCATCACCTAAAATCCGGACTTCAACTCTTGCTAACAAGAGTTAACACTTGCATGACTTAAAATCTGGACTTCAACTCTCGCTAACAAAAGTTAACTCTTGTTGATCTAAAATCCGGACTTGAACTCTCACTAACAAGGGTTAACACATGATTTAAAATCCAAACTTTAACTCACAACAAGAGTAACTCTTAAATGACTTAAAATCTGGACTTGAATACTTGCTTACAAGAGTTAACTTTTACATGACTTAAAATCCGTATTTGAATTCTCGCTAACAAGATTAACTCTTGCATGACCTAAAATCTAGACTTGAACTCTCACTAACAAGAGTTAAGTCTTACATGACTTAAAATCCAGACTTGAACTCTCACTAACAAAAGTTAACTCTTAAGTACAAAATTTATAAGTCTGCAAAGTATTGTCCTTTTCTGATACTGACAAACAAAATTTTGCAAACTCAAGCTAACCTAAGATTTACTAGTAAGAGCTCAAGTCCGAATTTTTTAAAAAATAAAAACTTTCCACAAAATGTGGTAATAGAAATAATTTTGAATAGCATACCTCTCTGCTAAGAAAAGAAGTTCGTCTGATAATATAAACATCATCACCTAGTTACAATATTATTTACACTCAACATGACAATATCATCTATACAAAATTTCTTTGGTGCCACTTAAAATCCGGGCTTGAATTCTCGCTAACAAGAGTTAACTCTTACATACAAGAATTCATATAAGTTCACAGAGTATTGTCCTTTTCTGATNTATTGTCCTTTTCTGATACTGACAAACAAAATTTTGCAAACTCAAGCTAACCTAAGATTTACTAGTAAGAGCTCAAGTCCGAATTTTTTAAAAAATAAAAACTTTCCACAAAATGTGGTAATAGAAATAATTTTGAATAGCATACCTCTCTGCTAAGTAAAGAAGTTCGTCTGATATTATAAACATCATCACCTAGTTACAATATTATTTACACTCAACATGACAATATCATCTATACAAAATTTCTTTGGTGCCACTTAAAATCCGGGCTTGAATTCTCGCTAACAAGAGTTAACTCTTACGTACAAGAATTCATATAAGTTCACAGAGTATTGTCCTTTTCTAATATTGAAAACAAAATTTTACAAAATCTAGCTAACTAAGAGCCTATTTGGTTGAGGTTACATATTGGTTAAAGGAGCTTATTTAAAACCATAAACACTTTTAAATGTTTTTTATGTTGTTTAATTGCTTTTTAGAAGTGCTTATAAGATTTAAATAAAACATTTTACAAATCATATAAGCTTCTTTCATAAGCTTTTTTTGAGTTTATTTAAAGTAATAAAATTAATAAAATACCCCATTCTATTTTATAAGTTTGACTTGATATATTATTTTATAATAAATTCCTTTTATAATTTAAGACTAAAAAGTTCTTCACATTTTCCTAACCAAACAATTAACAAAATTTTCACACTGTACTCTCTTCTTCTATAAGCTCTATTCGAATAAACCATACCAAATGGACCATTACACTGAGCATGACAATATGATATATATACAAAGTTTATTAGGATTAGACTTAAAATCCAAACTTGAACTCTTGCTAACAAGAGGATACTGAAAAACAAAATTTTGCAAACTCTAGGTAAGAGTTACTAGTAAGAGTTCTGAGTCCGAATTTTTTAAAAAATCAGAAAATCTGCACAGAATGTAGTAATACAAATAATTTGGAATAGCATACCTCTCTGCTAAGTAAAGAAGAAGTTCATCTGAAATATCAAGATCTTTAGGAATGAAAATATCCTTGATAGACGATCTCCAGTATTCCAAAGATAATCCATGTGCATCTTTACCGTTCATTAAACTCTTTAATAGCTTCATCAATTTCACATCAACATGCATAAACCATTCTCTAATTATATCGCGATTTACCAGAGATCTTTCAGTTCCTGAATCAAGATTTCCAATAAAAGGCATGGCCAGACTCAAATCAAGCATATTTTTTCTCCAAAACAAGAACTCCCAGCAGCCTAATTGCCATGATTTGCACACTGAACACACATTACTTGACAATTCAGAAATGGGTATATAAGAATATATTTTGTTCAACAAGTCAATATCTAAATTCTCCCATTTTCTTGATTGACAAGACGATTCTTCCATCCTTTCACTTCCCAAAATTTTTCTCGTCTTATTATTTGAAACAGCCATTTGCTTGTGGTTGCTAAAATTGCAGCCACTGTATTTTGATCTGCAACAAATGAAAAGTTTCATTCATATAGATCATCTTGGAAAGCTATAGGACTTCTTCGTTCAATATCTACCTATCAATATGCATATAATTATTCTCCAATGCGGACGTCTTGAAATTTATAACATGGAGATCAAATTTATAAAGAAGTTCCGCCTTAAATAAGATTTTATAAACACAAACTTACAAGAAAATTATCAAGAAAAAAGAAAATACAAGAAAATAAGCCAAACTATCGAAACAAATCTCGCTCGGTTATCTCTGATTAATCTTCTTTTTTCATAATAATAGTTCTCCGAAAAAAAATAGAAGAATTAAAATAGAAGGAAAACAGAATTTAACAAACCAGATAAATATTTGTGAATAAGTCGTCTGCAGTGAACGAGCGATAGCTGAGCAGTCTTTGCGGTTAATACGTTGGCAACATATATAATTATATATATACTGTCTATGGTTTTATGCGTAAGTTGTAATAGGAGAAAAAAAAAAATTCGTTTTTTTTAAATTACCGAGGTGTTCGGACTATATTACAGGAATGTCAATAAATTTATAGGCTTTATAATAAATATTTATCGAGTAAGAGTTCTAATGGCTATCCTTATTAATAATTAAGAAAATATTCTAACTCAAGATTTTTTAAGTAATATATTCAAAAATCTCTATCAAACCACTCAGTTATTCATGTGTAGTTAGAAGAGAAAGATTAGGAAAACAAAGAGAAAAAAATTTAATCTCCACATAAATTTAAATTGGGAGAATTTCAGAAACTATCCATCACCTTATATTAATTGTAAACAGTAAAATCTTTGATTGATTCAGAATGGACGGATCTTGTAAGAAGCGAGACACAAACAATCTGATGAACCTACACAAAAAAGGAAAGGGAACATGAAGGCTTAGGTGACACTAGTGTGGTATTTGTCATAGGCACTCCGACGTTCAACTCAGCACAATTAAAGGTATTTAGTAAGGACTGAAAGCAGAAAGGGTTAGTCTATACTTAGTGAGGGCTGAGAGCGAAAAAGGTTTGGGCTAGACTAACACAAAGTGGCCGAAGCACAACTTTGCTGTGGCTAAAGATGGTAAAGTTAGTCGAAACTAAGATTTACGATGGGAAAAGGTGATTATTTAGAACAAGAATTTATGAGTTAAAGCTATGGGTGATTTCTGAATGCATAATGAGAGGTTTGACCTCTATTTATATAGTGAATCAAACATGTTGGAGTCCTAGTAGAATTATAAGTCCTACTTGGTAAATGAGTTTCAATTAGAAAGGAAATATTATATAGGCTTACCACTTCAAGTACGATTATGGATCTTAACTGAAGTGAAAAGTAGATAGGATTTTGATTCCTATTTTGGGACTGCTTTGGGCTAATGGGTTGGAACCCACTTCAGCTTAATTTGTAGGATAGACCAACTCATAGAGTTGTCAGTTCACAATATGGATTTAAGCATAGGCCCAATCGTAATTGGGCTAAGGCACTAGGTCGTAATATGTTTATTTCATTATTGGATCTTGTCAGGCCCAATGCGATTTTTGGCCTATACACTAATCACACTTTTGTGATAAATAATCAAAAACCACCCCTAAACCCTAAAGGTCTGCTTAGGAGTTTTTTTCCACTGGTTTTGAAAGGTTTTTAATTAGATTGGTTTTGAGGTGTTTTTAAACTATTACTTGCCAGATTTTTTATGCATTGGTTTTGACTGGCTCAAAAACCCCTTAGAACCAGTGTAATGTATTTTTGAGGGGTTTATAAAATACCCCAAATTTGGGTGTTTTGATTGGTTTTAAAATTTTATTCCACAAATACCCTATTCACTATAAAACTATCCCAATTACATCAAAATAATAATAATAATAATAACCATATTATGCACGTCTTCAACCATATTAAATATAAAACAATTTTAAGCAATCATAAAAAAAAAAATATTAAAATCTCATTTCTAGATGCTTTCTTGGAGAAGTAGAATTACAATTTTTCAATAATTCCAAATGCTACAAAGAATGACGAAGAATGATAAAAAGAATTTCTCACATTTGAAGTTATAAAATACTAATAAGTAGAAAACAAATAAAGAACTTTTACCTTATAATTGAAAAAACAAAACTCCAAAGTACTAAGTACAGTTTGGGTATTTTTATAGGCATATATGTAAATTTATCATTTTAAAAAATTGTTAGAACCGCTAGAAAATAAACTCTCAAGCACAGGTTGGGTGTTTTAAAAACCGCTACTAAAAACCTCTCAAAACTGCTACGATGGTTTACCCTCATAACCACTACCATGAAACTCTTAAGTGAACCCTAAGGAGGCATTTGGTTGGGGGTTATCCCCTATTACTAAAGTAATTTCATCTTATATTAGTTAGGTTACCATGTTTTGTTGTCAAGTAATATAAGATTCCGGTAATCTTTCAAAACCAATAGTAATTACTATTGGTTATATATATGATAATCCGAATACCTCTATTTTCTTAGGGTAAATTGCACATTATTTTCAAAATGTTAGGGGGTATTTAAACATTATACCCTATAATGTGTATTTGACTGATAATTTTTGAAAACACAAGCTAGTTTTTGAAATTGATCGCATTAATTATTATTTATCTTTTGGTTTATTTAAACTTGGGCTAATAACTTATTTCTTCATTTAAGAATAATTCGATTTTATTGTTTTATGTTGCCTATTAAAATATCAACTTCAATTTGCTAAACACACACACACACACACAAAAGGAAATAATTCATTGTAATTTATGACTATATGAATCATTATTTTTCAATCATGAATTATAATTAAATAAATCTCTGAATAAATTTATATTGGGTGGAGTTTATACACATTTAAAAGTGTTATTAACATGAACTACCTCTGGATAGCTAAGTGATCTAATAGGGATTTTTTTATATATTACTCAAGAGGTTTAGAGTTTAAGCCATTCCTCGATTGTTAATAGAGATAACTATCGAAGCTCTTACTCAGTCGATTGTTCCAGGTTCCGAAAACTAGACCAGGTCAAGGTCCTAGTTCACGGTTTGACCGGTTAAACTATTGATTTTCGGTGGTCCAGACAGTTTAAATTCTTACAAACACACCCTTAAAAACTTGTCAGTCCCTATAGTTTTAAAATATAACAAATACACCCCTATGATATGTTTGGGTTTTGACATTTCCAGCCAAATTTCGGTTAATTTCGACAGCCAAAATTCAAGCCAACACCACCAGTTGAACCGCCACCTCCACTCTACAAAACCCTTCTAACCCCGGAATTTGATAGCCCTCCGTTTGCCAGTTATGAGTCACAAACTCTGTGATTAGGTTGATTTTTCCGACCAAATTTTGGCTTATTCCGGTCTCCAAAATTCAACCAAACACCACCACCTAAACCATTGACCTCCACTCTACAAAACCCCTCTAACCCCGACACTTGATAGCCCCTGTTGGATTGAACTTTCTGGCCAAATTCTGGCTTATTGTAGCATCGAAAATTCAATCTAACACTATCACATGAACCACCGGCCTTTACTCTACAAAAACCCTCTAACTCTAACACTTAGTAAACCCTCGTTCGTCAACAATCAAATTAGGGATTTGGGTGAATAGTGAAATTGAAATCTTGTACTAGAAAAGAGGCCGATCGACGGTTGGACCGGTCTAGTTTTCTGAACATTGGTTAATGATAGGATTAAAATGTTACTGAAACTGGAAGGGACCAAAATGTTATGGAAACATTATACTAGACTAAAGGGTACTTAGACCAAATCTCAGGGCTAGAAGGTGTTCTCCTGGTTATAAACCCCAGTCTTAAACCCTAACTGAAAACTCTTTCGTTGCTATGAACTCGTAGCTTTTACATACTCTGAAAATATGCAACCTCACTTCAATTCCTTTCCCCATCAAATCCAGTCCAATTCTTCCACTCCTCAGCTTCCTCACCAGGTAACTCTCTCTAGACTCATCTCATTCTGCATTTAATTTTGTAAGTTTCATCTAATTGGTTTTTTTTTTTTTTGCTTGAATTTTGTTTAATTCATCAGGGTTTCAATTCTAACATGTTACAAAATTCAATGCCACTTCAACCTCAAATGGGTATTTTAAATCCTCAATTTCCGTTTAATTTAGGTAATGGGCAAGCCATGCCCATGCCCATGCCCAATATGCAAGCACCATTGATGACTCAACCTAATTTCATGAATGCTCAAAACCCTTTTGTTTTCTCACAAAATAATCATCTGGGTATGCCCCAATTGCCGCCCATGTCTCAACCACAACATAATTTGAATAATGTTCCCATGTTTCCGGGTACTGGACAAATGTTTGGTTGTAATTTATCAAATTTGCCTCAACACCTTAGCCAAAACATGGCTTTGCAAAACTTGAATCAACTTGTGTCTATGCAAATGGCGAATCCTGCCTTTTTGGGGAATCCGCAGTTTGGTCTTGTGCATAGTAATGGTGTTGGGCAAAATGTAAACCAAAACCGGCAAAATTTGGTTCAGCCAGTAGTGGATGCAAATGGGTCGATACCATCGCCTTCAAGTAGAACACAGCAAAACCAGAACTCGCAGCCTTCTGTTTTTGCAAGGTCTCAGGTAGCTATTTTGCTCAATTCCTATATTAGTTATGTGTAAATATCATTCAACTTTACTTTATTTTTGTTCAGTAGACAAGTTGAAAGGAGGTTATTACTAAAATTCCTGTATCTTTTGATGTCTATATGATATATTTTATTGAGAGGAATTCAGTCTTGGTAGCTATAATTTTTTCTTACCATGCATTAAATGGGAATTTGTTATCATAGTGTGCTACCACTCATGGCAGTGGCATGCATTCTTTCTTCTCTTGGAGTCTAGTTTAAAGTTTAAATTGGTTTTGAATCTTAATATCTGAAACCTAGTTGTAAAACCATGTCTATGGATCAATTTTGATCCATTGCAGCGTAGAAATGTGGCTTAGCTGTATAACAGAGCAATTGAACCAATACGCCATTTGTGACATTTCCATTTTATCTTTTGCCAGCTTTTCTGTCAAAAATAGTTTTTGGAATCGTTTTTGTGCCAACATTGTCAATTGAGCTGCAGTGACTGTTAATTAACTTATGTCCTTTCTAATTGTTGCAGGGGAATTCTATTAGAAATGGTCAGGGTAATGCTTCAAATAACAATTGGAAAAATGGTTCAGGGAAAAATTTTGTAAGAAATCCAAAAAGAGAGCACTCACGGGGGTGGGTGAATTTACCTTTTTTATATTTTGGTTTATAATTTCTGCTGTTATAAGATTTCGACTAGTTATTTGTAATTGACAAATGAAAATGTAATTATTTAGGTTTCAGAAGTCTCAATTACATCATGGGGATGATGCAAAGAGAAAATATGGGTTTCATAATAACCACAAAGCAAAAGGTTTGTGTTGTCTGATTTTAAATTTTCCATTAAAGTAAAAACAATATGAAAATAAAGCACTGTAGAGTGTGACATAATTTCTGGTGCCATTGCTATTATCATCTACTAGCTTTATGGGCACATACTAGAATTATAAGGCCAAATAAAGCCCACTAACAAGTCTACATTTCAGGAAGTGAAATTATTTTTTGACAAGATCAATATATGTTTATTTATGGCTGTGTGTGGAGGGAGGGTAAAATCTATGCATGGACACGTATATCTTTCACATTATTTTAAAACATCTTTTCTGCTATGTATGGTGAGTGTTACTTACGTAGTAAATTTCACTTTTCACAGGACATCGCAATGAGATGACTGCAAAATTTGGTCAGGCTAATCATTTGAACCAACCTAAGGAAAAGAAAAGGTAATCATATGTTGTTTTCATTTCAATGAGGGAGAAAAGTCTTATTGAATTTACCTCTTATTGTGACACAAAAACTGCAAGTAGAGGTGATGCTTGGACAATTAAATAGGCGTAACAATAGGATCTTACTTAGTTTAGCCAAATAGTAACTCTATTTTGCCAAGATTAAAGAGGCTTGAGATTATTTTAGGTGTTTAAAAAAATATCTTAGCACTTCAACAATTGTTTCAATTGAGGCAAAGCTTTTAGTTTCCAAATCAGTTTTATGAAACAATGATGAAAAATCATCAAGGTAGCTGTATAGGTTATCCTTTTCAGCTACATGGAAATTTATATATCTCCTAATACTCAGCCAATTTTTCTTAAAGTTATCGAATGGCAGTGCGTTTAAATAATTCCATTCGCTTCAAAAACTTTTATATGGGTGATCGTCACAGGATTCATAGATACTTTTGACTCATGGGATACTCTTGTATCACTTATTTTAACTCATGAAATCTTTTATATGGGTGATCGTCACAGGATTCATAGATACTTTTGACTCATGGGATACTCTTGTATCACTTATTTTAACTCATGAAATCTTTGTCGAATAAACACTGATTAGAGAACCATGAGGCTTAATTCTGTGCTACCTAGCTTTTTATTTATTTTTTTATATTTTATTGGTGGGTTAGATTAGTTAAAGGTTGTGAAGCTCATTTTCCCAGGTAACTCCCTAGCATACTTGTACTGTAAATAACTTCAAAGCAAGTTTTAGACAGGTATATCATGTGAAATGATTACTAATTTAGCACTTCCCTATTGTTGACAAAAAAGCCATATACAAGTATGCTAAAAGTTCAAGGATCTAATGTTTATAGCCTCAAGGTGCAAACAATCGGTTGCCAATATAGTAGGCATAAAGGGACATTTAGGAAGATTGGCCAAGCAAGCAGAAAGGGAGAAGCTGGATGTTATAAACTTATATTATTTTAATTTTAATTTATACCTGAAATTTAGATTTTCTATGTTGCTCTCCTTATTTTCTCTCTCAATGGTTTATTTTGATATATCTAACTGGTTACTACTTGGCTTTGCATGGATGTGCTTCTTATTTTTATGTTTATTTTTTGAATTAGAAAATCACTTGCTTTGACCTATACGGAAAAAGAAATCCAACAATGGTGTGAAGAACGTAGGAAGAACTACCCAACGAAGGCCAATATTGAGAAGGTTAGATCAACTGCTATCTCTGTCATCCGTGTTTCATATTGAGACAGGTGTTCTGATTGTTGACTCTATCACCTGCAGAGGTTGAGTGCAAAGCAGTTGAGCTCCGACATCATTGATAGAGAGGCCAAAATACGGCGTGAGGTACACTTATTCAGCTTTCTCTTTTTAGTAAAAATCTCTTATCTTATAATGCCCTACTGTACAGATACATCTACCTAGCTCTTTTTCCTTAATTTTGTTAGTATTTATTTCTGAGCAAGTCGTAGCAAACTACCTATTTCTCTTTCTCAAAATAGTGGAAAAACATGGTTAACGAGTTAATGAAGTGCTTCCCCTCACAGATTATAATTTGAGCAAACGATGTTGAGGAAAACCTAAATCTCTTGCTAAGCATGTATGTTAATATTTAAAAGGATTATTTGTTATGTGTGGTTTTGCCTATTCTTTCCATGCTAGGATTCTTCTGTTGTACCCATTTTTTAAAAACCAGTTCTAGGAGTTGGTTACTTGTTGATGTTATCTCTTTATTTAGTTTTTGTCCCACTTTTTTTCAATAAACCATTTATTGCCTTGTTTTTGTTGCTTCCTATAAAGTAAACTTGAATATAAAGCCGGAGGTTTCAACTTTTCCTCATATAATGGAATCAAGAATTTTCAGAGTTACCAGAGGAGGATGAGCTTTAAGGCTAACTTTTTGGTGTTGACGGTTAACCTGGTGTTTCTCCTAAAGTGACCTTTATTGAAACTACAAGAGACTCTTGGTCCTTAAATCTATTACATCTACATTCTTAGGCTCTCATAATATATGCCTGAGAATGTAGATTGTCTATGTTGCAATAGATATCTACAAATTGCTAAATACGCTTCTTGTTGATATTAATACTTGCCTTAGAAGTAGAAATCGTTTATTTTTACTAACATGAGTAAGGTCCCCTTACCATGAGGTAAAGCAGATAAGAATTCTGCATTTTCTTATAAGTCAGCATCTAAATACACTTTGTTGGTACATGCCTCTCATATTCTTCTCTTTATGACATTTTAGCTTCTCTTAATATATTGGGATTTTTGTTTGCAGCAACTCAAGGATATCTTGGCCAAGCAGGCCGAGTTGGGAGTTGAAGTCGCAGAAGTTCCATCACATTATCTTTTTGACTCTGATAAACCAGTGAATGGAAGGGAGGAGTATACAAAACCTTTTAATAAGAGGGGGAGATTTCAAAACAAGTATGATAAGAGAGGGAGATATAATAAGAAAGACCTATTTGCTAAGAAGCAAAAGATAGCAGATAAGGATTCGCCTAACACCCCTACTTTCAATAAGAAGAAGCCAACGCTTCTGCAGAAGCTTCTAAGTGCTGATATTAGGAAAGACAAAAGCCATTTGTTACAGGTTTTTAGGTTCATGGTGATGAATTCCTTTTTCAAAGATTGGCCAGAGAAGCCTTTCAAATTTCCCTTGGTTATAGTTAAAGAAGGTGGTTCTGCCGGTGAGGTGGTTGAAGAGAAATCCTTGCTTGTAGACAATGATGTTTCTGAACACAGCAGCAGAACCGCTGCTGAAAACTTTGAATATGGCAATAATGATAATGATGGTAATAAGGAAAGGCAGAATCAAAACATCCAAGCCTTTGATGATGACGAGTGTGAGGACGATGATAAGGATGATGACGAAAATAACAATGATGAACAAATGGATTATCATGTTAAGGGAAAGGGTATAATTGCCGAAGAGCAGGCTAGACCTGAGGAAGAAGAAGGAGAAATCATTGACTAGGTTGTATCTCCTTGTTCTTTCACAGTTTAATGTATTATAATCTGTATCATAAGTTTGTCAAGGGTTTTGGGTTCAGATAGAGTGGCAACTAAGATTTCAATTTTGCTAAATCGTGAGTGGAAAGGATTGACTGATCTGATAGATGAGGAAGACAATGCCCGGAAGGTATGATCTTGGTTAGCCGCGAATTAAAATTTTCAGTGTAAACTAACTGGCATTTTATGCTTGAACTGATTAGTTTTGAAACTTATCTGGCTTCATGAAATCCTTTTCTTTTTCTTCTTTTTTTTCTCCTGAGGCATCAGATTGCAGTAAGACACAAGAAATATGAGAGGAATTTTTATTGGATCAGTACGTCTGAGTCCTTGTTAGACTTAAGAAGCAAATATTCCTTGAGTAATATAAGGTGATGAAAATATTTACAGTGAAATCTTCCCGATTCCGTATTCACATGAATTTACAAACCAACACATATGTTACATGGTTAGACACGCAGATAGGAAGTATCAGAACTCAAATTGCATCTCTGAGTCATATCCAAGAGCTTCAAGATGAGTAGCCATGGCCTTGTTCATGCCGGGAGGTCCACATCTCAGGATCTGTAAAATCATAAATTTTAACTGAGAGCGATTACTGACACTAAATTCCTGAGAGCGCGAATTCAACTGGTTAGACCTCTTAAGAGTTACATAAAACGTTCTGCTATTGAATTCTGCAGAGACTAGAACTCGGGGTTTTGGTTTATGAAATTATCCTACAAAAAATCTCCAGAAAGTTGTGGAAAATAACCTGAATATCTGAGGCTGGTGCTGGACAATGTGTTTGAATCATTTCCTTTGAAACATGCCCAATCCCACCATTCCATGTTTCTGGAGGCTGCCAATCATTTATTATCATCAATGAAAGGGAAATTAAATGTTAAATACTTGCAGAATATAAAGCATATGAAATGCAGAAGCTAGATGAATTGCAGAAACCAGAATATAGTTACTGCTTAATTTACTGTTTGGAGGCACTGTAAAACACTAAACGTTTTCCATGTATTTGTCTTAACATTTTCAAAATTTTGCTTATACAGAAACGTGAATAATAAGGTGAAGCACATACCTGACTTAAAACATAATACACTTTGAAACGGTTGGGAAATTTCACAGCAAAGTTATCTAGTTCTTCCTGTAAAACAAATAAACATCGGCATTCAATACGATAAGTTGTGATGTCAAACATATTGAGATTTTTCTATTATCCACCACAAATAGTGGGGCTCAGAGTGTGTTCTCTTGATTTGTTTTCAAAGAGAAAGTCATGCATTCGAATGAAGGGGACACGCTTTGAATAGGAAAATCATAATATCTTGACAGTGATTTAGAATGTTACAAAAATAGTGAAATCCAACATAAATACCAACAAAGATTCTCTTTGATTTAATAAAGATGATGAGATGATCAAATTTTATAATGTTTAAAACTTCTACTTGTGAGTTATAGAGAAAGAAATGGCTAACCTTCAAAAGAATGTCATTAACAGTGACATTAGCATAGATAAGATTCATATTGGTTTTATCTTTAGGATTCTCTAATATGCCTCTAGTCAGCTGAAGAAAGAAATCAAACAATTAAAACAAGAAATTAATATATATTTATTTTTTGTCATTGAATTACAAAACCAATGTGGAAAATATTGTGATTTATATATGAACCTGAAACATTGGAGTAATACCAGAGCCTCCAGCAATCATCCCAAATGCTCTAGCTTGCCCAACTTTATATTTGAAACGCCCCTTCAAAAATGAAACCACAATTCAAAATGCCATGACGTAGAGCTTATTAAAGTAGAGTTTTTATAACCAGAATTCTGAGCGATGATTTGAACGAAAGAGAATGTACCTTTGGTCCCTTTACTGGAAGATATTCTCCTACCTTCATTTCTCTGAAATAGTGAGACATCCTTCCGTTTGGATACATCTATTTATAACATGCATAAACTCGATTAAACTCTCAAAAACATAAACTATAACTAATAGCGTAATTCGAATTTGACCCCGGAATTAACAGTTTTGTTCACCTTTACAACTAGTTCAAAGAAACCAAGATCAGAATCCAGAGTTATTGGAGTGTATGGTCTTATGACTTCTTTACCTTCCCTGTCCTGTCCCCTGCTCAACAATTCCAGTCAGTAATGAAATAAATGAAATTCTCAACGTCCAGAGAATCTCAATTTGATGCATCGATGAAATTTTCAATGAATTGATTAAAATTTTGGCACATCAGATACAATTTTAGAGTTATTCTGCTTAAGATTCTTGACAGCAATTGTTATGTTGTTGGAACATATATTAATTATTTATAAACATATAAAATAGAATGGAAAAGAAATTCTCCATGTCAAGAGAATCTAAATTTGATGCATCGATGAAATTTTCAATAAATTGATTACATTCTGACGCATTAAATACAATTTTAGACTTGTCCTATTTAAGGTTCTCAACTATAAGAGAAAACCTTAACATGTGTCATTTGAATATATATTAATTATTAATAAATACATAAAATAGAATGGAAAAGAAATTCTTGATGTCAAGAGAGTCTAAGCTTGATGCATCGATGGAATTTTCGATGAATTGATTTACATTTCGACTCATCAAATACAGTTTTATACTTACCCTGTTTAAGATTCTCAATAATAAGAACGTACATGTTTACTTTAATTATTAATAAATATATAAAATAATGAAAAAAGAAAAAGAAATCTCAACCTGCAAACAATGTGTTGTCCAACAGGTAAGCCAAAGATTGAAGTAGGTTTAGGAAGAGCAAATCTGAACTTGGAAGCATTATGGGTCAACTGAGTTTTCTTAACAAGTTTGAATTCCTTGAAATTCTCTGGGTCTAAGCAGCCTGCAAAATTTACCATTGTAGTATTAATTTGGTCATAATAAAATTCTTCGCTGAGTACAAAACATGAAAATATTATAAGTTTATTCATTTCTAACCTTTGGGTTTTCTGGAGCGCAGAACATAAATAGCGAGGACTGCAACAACAAAACCAAGTAGTTGAAGATGGGAGAGTTGCATCAGAAAATCAAATTTGGTTTTGATCATCAACTCATCAAACCTCAAATCCATTGGTAAATTCAACATTGTATTTGTACCTACATCAATTTAATTTATAGGGATAACAAAATGCCTTTATTTTCATGCTTTGCTTGTTCTTGTTACCTTTCTCGTCATTCCCTTTTATTTTTTAGAGAATTTGTGAGTGAAGGAGAATGTATGAAGCAAGAGATCATTTAAAGAACTTTATAACGGAACCTCAAATCAAAATTTAAAGTGTTAAATAAACTTTAGAGATTAATTAATGTACGTACAAACTGAACTAAACACACCGGTTATTAAAAAAAAGAAAAAAAGTCAAGAGATACAAGAAATCTTATGAAAATGGGTTTGGTAGAAAGTTTAAGGACTCTCCCACTTATTAGGCCGGTTTTTTTGGTTGGATTCTCCATTGGACTTGAGTAATCAAATTATGGTTTGATATATAGAAGATGGCAAGGTAGTGTTGCTTTCTTTTATTTTATCCACTCACCATGTGAATAGTACGAGAATAACAAGATATTTATTATGGATAAACGTACATTTATATGTCGATTGTGACACCCCGAGAAAGTGAAACATATAGGCAAATGAATTCATACAAATTGCATAAAGTTAGTTGTCGTGTAAAACGGAAAAAATAAACTAAATGTATATAACAAATAATGTCACAAACATATGTCAATATCACATTAATTTCTATGAAATAGTATTTATATAGTTTGCACGAAAAATAATATCATAGCTTAACAATTAATATTTATCAACTACAACCTACATAACACGCTATCCCAAAAATAGTTGAATTTATAGATATTTTATCCATATTTACAATTTTTAGGAAATAATACAAACCCTATCTACAAGTTTATAAGGTATTAGGAATTTTACAAAGATTTTGATGATTAAATTGAAATTTCGAAAGATATCTATTTTAATTTATTTTTTTAAATTGTAAATATAGGATAAAACTAAACCCTATTTATGGAGATAAATGACTAGAAAATGCTTTCAGGCCCCATGCTTTATCAATGGCCTCCTGATTTGCTGAGGCTTAAATCTATTTGATCAAATTATGATGTAATATATATATATAAGTAACACTTAGACTTAGACGTTTAAACAAGTGATATTATAAATCTAAAAGATGAAGAGGTAAAGTTAGAAATGCATTGAAAATTAATCACATATTAAAAACAAGAGTTAATCTTTTTTATATCATATGATAGCAAAATTAATTATGGGTAACTAAGGGGCAAATTAAACAAGTAATTTATCTAATAAAGTACATTTATCTATCTTCTTTACCATTTTTTATTTTATTTCTTAATTTTATAATTTACAAATTTACATCTTTTATATTATTATATCATTAAAAAAAATGTTATTAGAAAAGCTCTTTTTTCTAATTAAAATACCTATTATTTTAATTTTATTGGATAAAAACTTTTTTCTTTTTTGGTGAAATTATTTTTCAGATATTTTATATTTATGATATCTAATTATTGTTTCAAATGAAACAAAAGGGTTTGTTTGTCATTTTATCAAATATGGTACGTTAAATAACATATTAGATTAACCGCGGTTATCTTTTGAATAAAAATGTTATTATATAATAACATTTAGACTTGTAATTCTAGCTTTTGCTTATATTAAATCTAAAAGGTATTTATGTTTTAAAACGTAATAAACCAGTTTTATACTCTATAAGTTTTTCAGATAATTAAACAAGTAATGAAATTAAATTGTTTCGCACATATTTTATGACTCTCTTGCCGGCCAAGTTTCCCAATTTTAAAGAATATTCTTATATTATGTAATATACTTAATTATCAGCTTTCCTTGACTTTGATGTTTAATAATTTAATGTAATTTTGTATACAATTTATCTGTAATATTATTCTCTTATTGCGTGAAGTCATCATGCTTTATATTGGGAGCATAAATTGACAACCAAATTAGAAACCTTGAAACAATTATTGACTTTGGCTTCAATTATTTTTAATTTTTATTCGAGAATGAAAGTCGTTTTTCAAGGTTTGTGTCCGTCAAGACATTGACTTCAATACAGGTTTATAATAATATCACGTCAATTTATATAGTTAGTACTAAAAAAGATACTATGGTTTAACATTTATTATTTATCAACTATAATCCCTATCACACACTCTCTCCAAAAATAGTTTAATTTTTATAAATAATTTATCTATATTTATAATTTTAAGAAATAATACAAATCCTATCTCGAAATATTTAATTTAGGCTTTTTTTTTTTATATATATTTTAAGAAAAGATTTTGATGATTAAATTGAATAAGGCCTTATACTTTATATATGGCTTCCCAATTTGGTGAGGCTTAAATCTAGTTCATGTAATTAATGATTATCACATTTTTTTTTTTTAATTTTATAATATACTCTTTTAAATTTATTGACAAGTATACTTATTTTTTGTATTTTTCACATGATGTGGATCTAGATTTACTTTAGCACATATTAATATTTTATTATTGTTTTATAATAAAGTCTTGCCAGAATGCCAGCTAAAGTGTCAATTCCAAAACAATACACTTGAATATAATATACTTGATTACCGGCTTTCTTCGATAATTCTCACATCCGAAAGATGAATTAATTTGTTTTTTCAAACTAAATATTATATCAATTATTTTTTTTATTTTTTTTATGTAACATGACACTTAATATATATTTTTTTTTATAAAATATAATAAAATTTTATATTATGTTGTTGAATACTTAAATATTTATAATTATTATCTAATTATATTCTTAATCTTTAGTTATTGTACTAAATATTTGCTTATGTGCATTTGCAAAATTATGAATTTTTTCTAGAAAATCCAAAGAAGTCAATTTAAATATGTAAATCGTTTCACATATACAAGTAATTTCTCATACGCAACTCAAGTAATTAATAGGCAATTGACAATATGAATATGGTTATTAAATATATTATATATAATTTTTTTTCATTAATCTCCCTTAAATTTAATTTAATTATAAATAAAATCTCATGTTAAAAAAAAAAAAAAAACATAAATAGATTTTATAAAATTTTAAAGAGGTATTTGATGAATCTATAGGAGGTTTTAAAAAAAAAATAATTTAAGTAATTTTAGGGTGTATTCATGATTCATTTGTTTTGTATATAAATACTTTAAAACCATATGATATCACCAACAATTAGGTTATATTATGGGGAAAATCATTAATATGTACTGTAAAATTTTCATAAATGGATTTAATAACAATATTCTTACATTATTTATTTATTTAATTATAATGTAATTTGTAATTAAATATGGTTTAAAATCTAATGTAAAAAATTTGACTAGACTAAACCAATCCATCAAAATTTTATTAAATTTGAAGGTTCCAGCATATTAAATTGGATCCAAATAGATTAAAATAAATGTGTTTGCCACACGATAATAGCAGATTGTATCAAGAATAATATAATTTAAAGAAAATATAATATTGGAATAATTAGGTTCTAGAATCTCTTATACAAAGGAGTAAAAATTAGTCTTTATATATATATATATTAAAAAGTCAAAAGAGTAGATTGTGGTGAGATTTGAAAGAGGCGGGTCCTATTTAAAATTGACCAATAGAGAATTTAAAAGAGTAATAAATTAGTAATATATACTTCAATTATTATTTTCGTGGTCTCTACCCTTTAGGTTTCTAGAATGTATTAAATTCCCACCGTGCTCAAGGTCTAGGATCATCAAGGTTTTTGAAAATAATTTGTGATTATCTTCTAATATTAGTTTGTTCAAAATTATGTATATATGGAACAAAAAAATATATTAAAATAGATAAAGCATTGTATAAAGTATAATATAATTTAAAAGAATTTCTATTGTATAACCCCTTGTAACTTCTCTTAGATAGAAGAGTAAAAAATTAATCTTTTTTTTTAATATAAAAAAATAAAATCAAAATAGTAGATAGTGGTGAGATTTGAAAGAGTTAGGCTCTATTTGAATTTGACCATTAAGTTATAATAGGAGGAGACTGCAATAAAATAAATTAAAAAAATCACATGTTATTCTATTAGTATTATGGAGGCTTTTTGCCTTCCCACATTACCATCATGGTCAACTCTATTTTTCTTTTTTTAATTTTCAAGGTCTAGAGGTCAATGATCAACCAAGGTAATATTTTATTTTAAAAATAAATAGGGATTCTCTCCTACTATAAGTTTTTTCTAAAAATGCTAGCAATAAATAAAAATAATTATAATACTTTTTAGTTATAATCATATATTTTGTTAGTCAGGTCAACATATGTATACCCCTTAAGATTTGTCGAACCCTCCCATTAAGTTCAATACAGTTATGGGTGAGTTTGATATGTTTGAAACTACAGGGGTAAATTTGGTATTACAATAAAACAATTGATTTTTAACGATTTCCCTTTATAATAATATTAATGATCCCTCCATATAAAATGGGAAATTCTTAAAAAGGATAAATGTTATTATTAATATTGATATCTTTGGAAATTTTGCAAGAGGAAATTATATCGTTCCATATGTCCCCTTAGTTTTAGAAACTAACAGCTTCACCCCTTTCTTTGTTAACTAACTAACCTAGTTCTTACAAGAAATTACGAATGACTAATTGACAATCAAACAAAAAAATGTTTTTCTTATTACTAAAAAAAAGTGTTACTTATAAAGCTCTACTAATAAAACTATATTTTTTTTTTAATAAAAAGTTAATATTAAAAAAATAGTTCAATTATAATTGTGATTGAAGTTCAATCATTGAACTCACCCCTTAATTTCAATATACTATGTGTGAGTTTGATGTTAAAGACAAATTTGAAGGGGTCTTTGGTTTCGTTGAAACTATGAGGGGTAAATTGATATTATAATAAATCATTAGCTCTCCGTAGTTTTCCTTTATAATAATAGTAACCATACTTAGATATGGAATGGGTAATCCTTAAAACAATAATATTATACTTAAAAATAAATTTTATAAAAATATCCATATAAAGTGAGATGACAAAAAATGAATGGAGGAGTGAAACAAAAAGTCAAACTCATTATATTCACTCTTCTATTCATTTTTTGCTGCACTATTTTGTATAGAAATTTTTGTAAGTATAGTGTTACTCTTCTTAAAAAGGATGATATTATTGAAATTTTACAAGAGGAATCTATATCATATTTCACCCCTTAGTTTTAGAAACTAACAGCTTCACCCTTTTCTTCGTTAATGAACTTATCTAGTTTTAACAAGAAATTAAGAATAATAATAATTGACAATTAAAAAAAAAAAAAAAAAAACGTTTTTCTTATGACTATGGATAGTGTTAGTTGTAAAGCTTTACTAATAAAACTCTACTTTTTATAAAAGTTTTATTTAAAAAATAGTAGCAAAAAGGAGGCTAAATTAGTAAATTTCGAAGAAAAATGGGAAAAACGTATTAATGAATGTGACGGCCCATGGGCCACGGCAAAAATTTGACTTGGCTTTAATTCAATTGGGAAACCATAATAATAAGACGGATGAGTTGGAAAGAGGAAAATAAGACGTGTAAATATCAAATTGCATGGAATTGGTGTGAACAACTTTATGTTATTCTTCTTTTATATTTTGTTTTAGAATTAGGTCACTTACTTCTTATCTTCATATCATGAATTAAATTAAATTTTTGATGTATCTACATTATTCTGGATGATCCAATTCTCAAAAGAATATTAAAACTAAAGAAAAATTCCATGTGTTTGCCCATAATATATTGATGATTCCATCGGTATTAGATACACCGACTTTAATTGATTGTTTTAATGCCATGGGTCATTGAACATGTCTCTAGTGACCGTTATCATCAACAACTATTTTTTTTTTTTAAATTATAATTTATTAATTATGAATACTTTATAAAATAAAATAGTTCCTTTTGTCATCCTATATGTAACAATGATTGAAGAATCTAATTTATTAAACACATATTTTTGTTTTTGAAACTCACACCAACTTTAAAAAAAAAAAAAAAACCAAACCAACTCCAAATTTTTATTTTTTTAAAGTGGATTATTTAAAAAAATATATTAATTATTTTAACAAAATTTTATCCAAAATTGATTTAATAAAATATTATTTCACTCGTCAAGTTAACCAAAAGATGAGTTAAAACTTAGGATACATTAATGAATATCATTGAATTAATTATAAATAACTATAGACTAACGACACATTAAATGTCAAAGGGTCGCCCTCATCAATCTTAAATCGATAATAATTAAGTAAACGTGGACAATGGTAAGTGGTTTTGGTGTTAATTTGGACACTTTTTTTTCTTAAAATAAAAATATAATGTACGTTGGAGCATATTAATAATAAAAAAATAAATACTTCAGTATAAATAATATTAAAAAAAGATAATATTTAAAGTAATATTATTGGGATAGTATAGTACAGTCAATAACATGGGATAAATTCCTTGCAATAAATAGAATTAAATAATTGAGATAAAAAAGGAAAGGAGTAGTTGCGTTGTCATTATTATATTATTAAGATAATTATAAACTGCCGACATAGTAATCACTAATCAACTGAAAATGCAGGCGTGAGAGCGAGTAGTTAAGCCTTAATTAAACTAGCACCAAATATATAGAAATAAATATTAAATTAAAATAACAATGACCAAAAATAGAACAATCCAACGTAAAGATAAAAAAAAAAAAAAGTTTCTATTTTAATTCTTTTTGTCTCTTGGTGTTCTATCAATAAAAATCTTTTAAAGCTTAAAATTGCATGTTTTTTCCAAATAAAATAAAAAATATTATTTTTTTCAATAGATTTCTAACCTAAAACTTAAATAAAGCTTAGTGACAAATTAAGTACGCGTTCAAGATTTGTTATTACATTCAACTTTCAGTTAATGATATTATATAATTGATTTTAAAGTTTTTCAAAAGCATTTATTGTTAAATTATTCAGGTTATTCTACCCTTCATCGATATTTAATTAGTTCTTTTGAAGTCACAAATCGACTTATGACTATTATTTCTCAAATTATTGTATTAATTAATTGATGTTAAAGTCTTTTTAAAAACATTAATTATTAGACTTCTTTGTCTATTTTCGACAAATATTTAATTAGTTATTGTGAAGTTAGGAAATCTATCTTATTGTTTTACTTCCGAGTTATCAACATATTGGTTGATATTGAGTCACAAAAGAAAAATAAAATTAGAAATATAATCCTAGTTGTGAAAAATTTAAAAAAAAAAACATACATAACAATCTTCAATTTTCTAAAAGAGGGAAAAGAATCAACTTTTTGTTAAGTACCTGAAATTATGATTTAATAAATAATTGTTTTTACTTTTTAAAGTCTCTCAAAAGTTCACAAGTTGTTTTACTCCTGATTCTGATTGTTCTACAGTCAGTATTAATTAGCTGACTTTTTTGAAGTCATGGAAGTATTCTCAATATATCAACATTAATGAGTTGATTTTGAAGTCACAAAGAAGGATAAAGAGAAATATAAAGGTTATAAAAAAGTAAACTTTTAATCTATTACCAAAATTTCAATTCTCTGGAAGAGGGAAAAGAATCAAAGTGAAATGAGAAAGGATTAGGATGAAATCGATTTCAGACGCCTTGAATTCAACAAAACATTTTAAGAACGAAACAACACACAAACATAACTAACATGTTTTTCTGAAGACAACCTTCTAGAAGCAAGCAGCTCTTTTGGACATCAACGGCTTGTTTCTTTCACTTGTTCCTTTTCCCCCTTTGTCCCATCTGGAAGGAAGGAAGAACAAACCAAACCTCACCTCCAAGAACCACTATAACAAGACTTTTCTCATGTTCTTCATTGATTGTTTCTCCCTCTTGTCGCCACCCATTACGTGTACTTAGCTTAGCCCCCACTCCCACTCTCTTCCTCATTTCTTGTAATCTTCGCTCTATGTGATTTGCTCTCTGACTTTGACTTTACTTTCATTTGATTACCAACAATGGACAACTTTCAGGATATATACATATCTGTTTACACCTTTCTCTTTCTAAAATAAATTCTCTTTTTTTTTTTTTTTTCTCTCTCTCTGCATTGGCCTGCTTTAGTGCTTTACACGCAAGTAAGTTTTCTCAAGTTTCGGTTTTTGTCTCTACAAGATAGAAAAGATAAGTTTTTGTTACTTGGGTTTGGATCATTGAGCTGTTTATGATTCTGGGTTTTGTTTGCTTTCTCCATTTTCGTTGTTGTTGTGGTGTCTTTGTGTTTTTTTTTATTTAAATCAGTATCTGTGTATTTCACGAGTCTGTTAATGGTTGACTTTAAGTTGCTGAAGAGGGTTTTGATCTCTAGATCATGACCTCAAAGTGGTTAATTTTGGTACAATCTGTTAGATTAGTTGATGTTCAAGAGGTTGTTGCTGTTTCTTTGTTTGATCTAGTGAAGAAACTAGTTTTGAGGGATTTTGATTGAGTTTGTGGATGGATTCAAGAAGTGGGATTGAGAATTCACCGGATATTGAGTCCAATTTCAACACCTCATCGCGAAGAAGTGTTTCTTCGATTCATTCGAAGGCTTCTCATGGGAATTCGATAAGGGAATCGAGTTTAAGTCATTCAGGATCGAAGCCTGTGAGGTATGGATCTCGGGGTGCTGATTTGGAGGCGTTTAGTGTGTCCCAAAAAGAGATCAATGAAGACGATGCTAGGTTGGTGTATGTAAATGATCCTGTGAAGACAAATGAGAATTTTGAGTATGCTGGGAATTCAATTCAGACTGGAAAGTATTCAGTCTTTACATTCTTGCCCAAGAATTTGTTTGAACAGTTTCATAGAGTTGCATACATATATTTTCTTGTGATTGCAGTGCTTAATCAGCTCCCCCAGCTAGCAGTTTTTGGCCGAGGAGCTTCCATTTTGCCATTAGCCTTTGTTCTGTTGGTTACGGCCATCAAGGATGCGTATGAGGATTATAGACGGCATAGGTCAGATAGAATTGAGAATAATAGATTGGCTTGGGTTTTGGTGAATGATCAGTTTCAGCAAAAGAAATGGAAGGAGATTCAGGTTGGTGACATCGTCAAAGTTCATGCAAATGAAACTCTTCCATGTGATATCGTGTTGCTCTCGACTAGTGATCCAACTGGGGTTGCATATGTACAGACTATTAATTTGGATGGGGAGTCAAATTTGAAGACCCGGTATGCAAAGCAAGAAACACTTTTGAAGGTTCCTGAAAAGGATGGTATCAGTGGGTTGATTAAGTGCGAGAAACCCAGTAGAAATATTTATGGCTTTCAAGCTAATACGGAAGTTGATGGGAAAAGGCTATCCCTTGGACCTTCAAATATTGTTCTTCGAGGCTGTGAGCTGAAAAATACTTCTTGGGCTCTTGGGGTTGCAGTTTATGCTGGGCGTGAAACAAAAGTTATGCTTAACAGCTCTGGTGCCCCGTCTAAAAGGAGCTGGCTTGAGATACGTATGAACGCAGAGATCATCAAGCTCTCTATCTTTCTCATTGCTTTGTGTGCAATTGTCAGTGTCTTGGCGGCTATTTGGTTGAAACATCACAACGATGAATTGGATTACATGCCTTTCTATAGGAGAAAGGACTTCTCTGATGCTGATGGTAAAGTTGATAACTATAATTATTATGGATGGGGAGTGGAGATTGTTTTAACTTTCCTCATGTCAGTTATCGTGTTCCAGATCATGATCCCTATTTCTCTGTACATTTCAATGGAGCTTGTCCGGGCTGGCCAGGCTTACTTCATGATCCAAGATACTGATATGTTTGATGAGGCCTCACATTCAAGATTTCAGTGCAGGGCCTTGAATATAAATGAAGATTTAGGACAAATAAAGTATGTATTCTCAGACAAAACCGGCACCCTTACTGAGAACAAGATGGAATTTCAATGTGCGAGTATTTGGGGAGTAGATTATAGTGGTGGCAAACCCAGTTCACAGAATGAGCTAGGTGGATACTCTGTAAAAGGTAATGTGACTTAATTTTTGACCATATATCTGTAGTCAGAACTTCTGATTTTGTTTAACAAGAGCTTACTATTTGATTTCTTATGTTCTATGGTATTCAGTAGATGGGAAGGTTCTAAGTCCAAAGATGAAGGTGAAGGTTGATCCGGATCTTCTACGATTAGCAAGGAGTGGACAGAATACAGAGGAAGGAAAACATGTCCAAAATTTCTTCCTTGCATTGGCAGCTTGCAATACAATTGTGCCTCTTGTTATTGACACATCTGATCCGAATGTTAAGTTGATAGATTATCAGGGAGAGTCACCAGATGAACAAGCATTGGTTTATGCTGCAGCCGCCTATGGTTTTATGCTAATAGAACGTACTTCTGGCCATATAGTTATTGACGTCCAAGGAGAAAGGCAAAGGTAATTTGACATACTGTTTTCCACTCTGTTGCTGATCTCTTACAACCATCATTTTGGCCATTGCACCTTCTTTCATCATTACTGTCACCACTAAATTCTTTGGGGTTAATTTTTAAAATAAAACAAAGGTCTCATTTTAAACCATATGTATGCATGTGTGTGCGCATGTGCGTGTATATTTTTTTTTTATAAGTGCATGTGCGTGTATAATTGTGTGAAGTTCCTGCTATGTGCTATATTAATCTTTTAGCAGAAGAATGGAAGCTGAAAAGAAATTTGGTGTTTATGGATGAAGTGCTTTTTAAAATGTTATGTGACACAAGCTCTAATTCGTTTCCATTTATGCATTTGACAAATGAAGTGCTAGTAGTGGTTCAACTGATAGTCGTAGCTATAGTTGATTATTGTTTCCTGATGTTGTTATTTTAAACTTCATTTAGAAACACAGGTCTTATTGTTTCTATTTTTGTTGAATTATCCCTTTTGGGCAGTGCAGGTTCAGTGTTTTGGGTTTACATGAGTTTGATAGTGACAGAAAGAGGATGTCAGTGATATTGGGGTGCCCTGACAAGAATGTGATACTCTTTGTAAAAGGTGCTGACACAACCATGTTTAGTGTGACAAATAAAACTTTGAACATGAATATAATAAGGGCAACCGAAGAACATCTTCATGCTTACTCCTCATTGGGTCTGAGAACACTTGTTGTTGGTGCACGGGAACTAAGCGCTTCAGAATTTGAGCAATGGCAGTCTTCCTTTGAGGCTGCTAGCACTGCTATAATTGGTAGAGCTGCTTCGCTTCGCAAGGTTGCTAGCAATGTGGAAAACAATCTCTGCTTACTTGGGGCCTCTGGTATTGAAGATAAACTTCAAAAAGGGGTGCCAGAAGCTATTGAGTCACTGAGAACTGCTGGGATTAAAGTTTGGGTTTTGACTGGTGACAAGCAAGAAACTGCCATATCAATTGGCTACTCATCAAAGCTCCTTACAAGCGAGATGAAGCAGATTATAATCAATAGTAACTCCAAGGAGTCATGTAGAAAAAAGTTAGATGAATCACTGGTGACTGTTTCTGGACTCTCACACGGAAGCGGAGTAAGCTCTGGAGCTGGTGTAAGACCAGTGGCCTTGATTATTGATGGTACCAGCCTTGTTTATATTCTTGACAGTGAACTTGAAGAACAGGTAAGCCTTGTCCTCCTGTCCTTTCTTTTAATTTTGATTTCTCAATGATGTATCATATACTGATGCAGATTAATTATCTTGAGTTGCAGCTTTTCCAATTAGCTAAAAAATGTTCTGTGGTGCTGTGTTGCCGAGTTGCACCATTGCAAAAAGCTGGAATTGTTGCCCTTGTAAAGAACAGGAGTCCTGACATGACGCTTGCCATTGGTGATGGTAATCATCATTCCCTTCGTTTCTTATAGATTCATATGCTCCCTGGAAATATTAAGATAATTTTCCACTCTTTTATTGGTGGTTTTGGCTGATATAAGAAATTCTATGTATCCTTGATAGGTGCCAATGATGTGTCAATGATTCAAATGGCTGATGTGGGAGTTGGCATCAGTGGCCAAGAGGGTCGACAGGCTGTAATGGCATCAGATTTTGCGATGGGGCAATTTAGATTTTTAGTTCCACTTTTGTTGGTCCATGGACATTGGAATTATCAGCGTATGGGCTACATGATATTATACAACTTTTACCGGAATGCAGTATTTGTTCTTATTTTGTTTTGGTGAGTAATTTTCTTCTGGAATATATGTTCTGATACTGTCTTCAGTCTTCATGTGAATATGCTTATTACTTTTGCCGAATCCTGCTCCTAAATCTCGTCTTCATTGAACAGTAAGGAGGAAAAGTAATAAGCTGTTTTAATGACTGTCTATGCGTCCATTTATGCTTATTAGGCTCTTACCTTTCTTCCTTTTTTGGGTACATAGGTCTTGTATCCTACATTTGCGTCTACTCTTGTATTCTAGATAGACTGTAAAAAAGAATGCCGATTACAGTAAAACTGAAGGTTTTGGGTATATGATGGCATGCATGATATCAGTTTTACCAGTCATAACAGGTAATAATATTGTGTTTGTGTAGGTATGTGTTATATACTTGTTTCACTTTGACAACTGCAATTAACGAGTGGAGCAGTGTGCTATATTCTGTTATCTACACTTCATTGCCGACAATAGTTCTCGCCATCCTCGACAAAGACCTAAGTCGAAGGACTCTTCTAAAATATCCTCAACTCTATGGGGCTGGACACAGACAAGAGTGCTACAACTCCAAATTGTTTTGGCTGACAATGATGGACACTTTCTGGCAAAGTGTGGCAGTCTTTTTTATCCCTTTCTTAGCATACCGGAAAAGCACCATCAATGTATCAAGTATCGGGGATCTTTGGACGCTTGCAATTGTTATTTTGGTTAATACACATCTGGCTATGGATGTCATCCGGTGGAATTGGGTCATACATGCAGCCATCTGGGGATCTATATTTGCAACATTCATTTGTGTTATTGTGATAGATGCTATACCTTCATTACGTTATTACTGGTATGCCCTCTTTCCGAATCTTGTATTTCACATTAGGCCTTTATTTCTAATTAAGCTACTTGTATTTCTATCGCTCCATTTACCCATTTGGTCATTGTTCAATAAACTACTCTTGACATCATTCTTGTACAATATGACAGGGCAATCTTTCACGTTGCTGGGACTGGAGTATTTTGGTTGTGCTTGTTGCTTATCATTATTGCAGCACTTGTTCCACGTTTAGTTGTAAAATATCTTTATCAATACTACAATCCTTCGGATGTTCAGATTGCGAGAGAATTCGAAAAATTCAGGATTCCAAGGGAGTCGGAAGCTGGACAAATAGAAATGAATCCAATAGATGATCCCCCTCGAAGACGATAAAATATGATTTTTATTCAAATTTGCATATGTTTATTTTTTTTTTTTTAATTTTTGTAACATATGAATAGATGATCATATTCTTTAGGCTTCTTGAGAGAGGTAGCAGATTTTCATCCTTCGCTATCCGAAGGATAGGGCTGGAGTTTGTATACTTAGGCTTTGCATTTTTTGGTTTCTTGTAATAAATAAAATTATTCAATGTAAATTAGCATTGTTTTACAAAACAGAATTCTTGTAGATTGAATTGCAGCAATATAGGTTTTTTGACATTATATTTAAAGTAGCTTACTGTTATTCATTTTATTTTTCAGAAATTAATGGTAAATATTACTTAGCTCCACCAAGAAAAAAATGTATGGCCATTTTGATGTTTATAGAACTAGCGGGGCTGTGTGATATTCGTCAATAAGTAGGGCATGTCCTTAAATTGAAGAGTATTTCACTTTTTCCCACGCAAGGTTTGCCTTCATGACACTTTCCCACCCAAAAAATTTAAATATACCGCTTTTCCATCTAAAGTTTATATTTTGTTAATACTCAAAATACACTTTACTTTTTCAATTGGTATTTGGTGAGTTATCAAAAGCCAAGATAAGAGAGATTTTGTAGAGTGGAGGCTGGTGGATAAAATTGCGGCTACCGATTGAATATTCATAGCTGAAAATCAATTAAAAATAGGAAACCCTGACTTTGCAATGGTTGACAATCAGTGGGAAATCAAATACCGAAGTAAAAGGGGTTTCGTAGAGAGGACTGGTGGCTCAAATGGTGGTGACGGAGAGAATTTTTGTTGCTGAAATCAGCTTTGGATAGTAACGGAGTATTAATTTTGAGTAAAAAAGTAGTATTTTAAAATTTGGATGAAAAAGTATCATTAAGACAAACCTTGCGTGGGAAAAAGTAGTTTAAATTAAACTGCATCTCGTACATGAAAGAAACAACGGCATTTCGGTTGGAAACGACAACATCGTTTCAATTACGAATATTATAGGGGTGTTTGTCTAAGCTTATAAGCTGGTCAAACTAACTTATAAGTTCTAAAATTAAGCTGACCTGTTTGTTTATAGTTTTTTTGAACTTATAAATTGAGCTTATAAGCAAAAAAAAATAAGTTGGGGGAGAGATACTTTTTTTTTTTTTTTGCTTATAAGCACTCTGCTTATAAGTTAGTTTGACTAAGTATATTACTACATTATCCTTGTTTAATTTTAAAATTTCATAGTATACCCTTATTTAATGTAGTACCTTTTTTAGTCATTTAATAATAAAATATACTTATAAGCCATATTTTACCAAACACGTCAACTATTTATCAGTCACTTATAAGTACTTTAACCAAATACGTAATTGCTTAAAATTTCAAAGGCTTATAAGCTAAAATTGGTTTATAAGTATTTATTGCTTATAAGCTAATTTTCATAAGCACCTTCTCTTCTGGTGTATTTAGTTAACCCACACGAGGTTCGTTGAATACATAAAACCCCCATATATTTGCCGCTAAGAAATATATAAAACTAAGATAATGAACGAGATGCCATAGACATGCTACTTACAAAAACGACATGTCGTAGTTCACAATTGCTTCCTGTTCCAACCAGTGATGAGTGAGTTTCAGATTTACATTAGCACTAGCTGTTGGTTCAAGAACAATTAAACTTGGTCTCCACCAACTCATAAACCAAATGATAAAAATAAATAAATAAATAAATTCGGTTCTAGTGTTTGGTCAAGNACATGCTACTTACAAAAACGACATGTCGTAGTTCACAATTGCTTCCTGTTCCAACCAGTGATGAGTGAGTTTCAGATTTACATTAGCACTAGCTGTTGGTTCAAGAACAATTAAACTTGGTCTCCACCAACTCATAAACCAAATGATAAAAATAAATAAATAAATAAATAAATTCGGTTCTAGTGTTTGGTCAAGACATTGTCCACACAAAAACTTCAGCAGGCAAACGATTTTTATATGCCTAAACTATACACAAAAAAGCCTTCAATAATTTCATCTGATACTGAGTGTGTTACACTAACTCTTGATTGTGAACCTGTGCAGCAAACTGCAAATTCCACAGAATATCTTCAACAGAAGGTCGGTTTCTTGGCTCATTGCCGAGACACCTCACACACAACTCGAGCATCGTCTTCAATGATTCTTCGGAACATTCATTCATAACCGATGGATCGACAATGCCCTTTCTAGCTGACTTGTCAATCGTTATGCTCACTTGTAGCTGCATAAGAGAGGAGAACTAAAGTTTAGTTATTTTTGTTGATTAGTGTTTCCGAATATGTGCTTTTGGACACATTAAAACAACCCTTTAATTAAGATAATTCATGTTGATACTGTCATCAAAGATTGCATACAAGGTTTAATATCAGAATCTACTTTGAAATGGTTGGAGAATAAACAATTGAATCACTCACAAGATCTCTTGCAACAACAACTTCGTTTTGGGATGTAATCGGTCTTCCCACAATGATTTCAAGTAAGATCACTCCTATGTCATAGACATCACTTTTATCATCCTGTTTTGTCCTGCAAATAGAGTGAAGAATGGTAATTTCAGTTGCGATTTTCAATGTACATGACATAATTGTAAATGCAAATTTTGCTCAATAATACAAAGAATCATATGAAGTTCTCATTCAACTTATAAATTGGCATAGAAGCTGCATTGGCGATGGATGTAAAGGCTTTAGTAAGGTAAAATGAGCTGGTTCAAATGCAAAAAGAAGGTTGAATTAAACAAGTGACACAGCAGTCATGTTCATTAGTAAGACTAAGAAATAGGGAATAGTTAAGTTACAGAGATAATAACATGAATGGCGCTCGGTAACCCTGAATTGATGCATCCCAGAAAGTGAATAATGCAAATCCAAGAGTTACTAAAGGGTCGGTAGCATTATCGATGTGATAACATAGTTTTCCCCCTAGAAAATAAATCAGATATTTCTATTACTAGTAATGCTACTTCTACTACTACATTAGGCTCCAGTAGAAAAGATTATGCACCTTGCCAAAGGACTTGCTTTAATTCCTTGATAAGAAACTTCAGAATTGCCCTGAAACTTGAAAGATCAGATCACATCAAAGCACTGATTTAAAGGACTATTTATAACTAAATAAATAATAACAAATTATCATTTCCTTACCATTCGCTTATTTTCGGCTAAAAGAGGTAGGTTATAACTGCTGATCTTTACATGAAGATACTGATCTAATATAACATCTGTTATCTTCAGGTTATTCGAGAATACTCCAGGCACAATCCCTGTATGCAGGAACTTGACACCCTTTACAACTCCTATTGCAGCTGCTATTCTTTGAATCCAATTAAGCTTTTGACCTGGAAATCCATTGTCAAACTTAATGTGAAACAAATAGTATAGCCTATAGATACAGAAGAGGAGTATTCGGGTTAATACAGGACAAGATTAAGCTTGTCTTCATCTTGTAAATTGCTGGCACAATTTGATAGGTCTTATGTAAAAAATATTCCCAATGGTTGGATAGGAATAAATGTTATCTAGATTTATAAGAGTTGGTAAACAACATTATCTGATATGCTAGTCATTCTATAGATGTCAAGCAGCTCATGTCATTAGAAGGGGTCCATACTTTAATTCATTATGTGGACTTATAACAATTTCTATGACCTACCGAGGGATGATGTCGGACACACATTTAAACGCCAAACCCTTGAGAAGGCGAAGGTAGGTAGGGTCACTGTGATTAGGTGTGAGAAAGTATCACAATCCCACATCAAATAAAAATTGATAAATTTGAGCTTTAAAACATGGTGAAAGAGTATATCACAATCTTATTTGACAAGGCACATTCATTTTACAAAGACATAAAAAGTTCACTTGAGCAACAGTGCGCACACTAGATAAAAGGTGTAGAGGGAAGTCACATCAATTACCGGATATGTAGCTTCTAAGGGTCCTGTTCGGGAGAAACTCAAATATCAGATATATGTTGCTAACACTTGAATCATCCACGCAGCTCTCAAAGCAGTGTCCAAGAGCACTAACCAAATGACTATGTCTAAGTTTCGAAATCATCTCAATGTTGTGCGTATACATCTGAGGACTGTGTCTTTTTCTCATTTTAAATCTTCTAATAGCAACAACAGTGCCATCAGTGAGCTTCCCTCTATAAACCTGACATTGAATTGGAAACAACAATTAAATTAATTTTACAGCAACATCAATCAGGAAGTATGCAGTACAGACTACTTAAACAAACGAGTGTTTCAATCTAATAGTACTAAAGGCACAATAATTGAACAATAGCATTTAAGCTTTCAATGCCAAACCCAAAGACAGACTGACTGAAATGCAGAAACAAATACAAATGAAACGTGACTCATTCCAAGATAGATTTTTCAAAAAACCAAAACCATGAGGACTTGGCTACCATGCAGAGCTTGGCTAGAATTGTTCCATGAACATTATACCTGGAAGAGGACACCTTAGAAATATCGCTGTAACTAGTAAATACTACATGTTTAACTATGTGAAATGCATACCTGACCGTGTGAACTCTGTTTTATTAAACTTGAAGCGTCAAAGTTATCTGTTGCCTCCTTAAGCTCCTCCAAAGTAAAGGTTCGATATACAGGAAGGCTAGCTCCCAGCTTCATTGTTTGTGATATACACTCTGCAAATACAAGAATTAGAAATCAACATGTTTCATGTGATTCTATTAGATAACTGATTCTGAAGTGGTTCAATTTCCAACAAATTCTGTTGAAATACCCTAACTCACAAAAAAAACATAAAACTAAGTTTTGGTCAAAGTTTTCACACTCTTTTGCTTTCCTTTCACGAAAAATTTAAGCTAAACATTGTCATTGAATGATAGAAGCAGAACGTGGAAAGACTCTATTTACATCAAGATGATGTCTAATCTGCAATTTTTCAGAATTTGATTTATAATAAAATGGAGTTTTGGGCTAAAACAGTACAAGAAAAGAAAAAAAAAAAGTGAGAAATGAGAAACTTACTAGCATCTGATAGCAGCTTCACCGCGTTAACAGTTGACACATTCTCCATAATTAACCTGCAGGTTGAAGGCATTTTCATAGAATCTTTGTTGTACACTTTCCTGACAAACAAAAGAACCACCCCAACAACAGCAATGCCCCCTAAAGTTCCTCCCACCATACTTGATGCAATAACCGATTTCGCATGAGGTGTCTTATTCTTCTCTTTATGAGGCAGAACTGTCACAGCCAGAGCTTCATTGTGGCAGAAATTAGAAGGATGCTGCATTTGTTCTTCATTTGACAAACAGTTTTTGGAATACAAGACAAGCCTGCTCATGTTGCCCACTTGTAGACAAGAAGGTAAATCTCCAGTGAGAAGATTTGAGGATAAATCTACATAAGCAAGTTCAGGATTGCAGGACATGCTCTGGAAGAACATTCCTGTGAGTTTGTTTCCATGAATATCAAGATAAACTATTGAAGGTAGATGTAAAATTGAAGGTAAAAATGGTCCTACAAATCCATTGAAAGAAATATCTAGCTTTTGAAGATGATTGTAGGTGGATAGTTCAGCAGGGAGGCCAAACTGAAACCTGTTGTTTTTCAGTACGAGAGTGACTAGCTTGTTATGCAATTTAGGAAAATCAGGACCAAAATGATTGTCTGCTAAATCAAGAACTTGAAGGAATCTCAAGTTGTGAAGATCAGGCACTTCACCAGACAAGTTATTTCCTGAAAGAGAGAGAACTCTGAGAGTTTCTAATCCTTTTAGAGAAGTTGGCAAAACCCCACTTAGAGAATTGTTCTTCAAGCTCAAAACAGATAGAGCATGTAGAGAACTTATCCAACCAGGAACTTTCCCACTGCAGTTGTTATTGTCAAGTATCAGTGTCTGCAAATTCTTCAAATATGAAAGTTGAACTGGAATGGGACCATTGAAGTAGTTTGAACTGAGATTAAGTATTTCCAGGGAAGATAACTGACCAATGCTTCCAGGAATGGCTCCCCATAATCCTAGAGAAACCAAAGATATGACTTTCAAGCTTGACAGGCCTCCAAGACTGTCAAAGAAAGAGTCAGAGGAGGAACTCTGAGGCAATGGAGGGACCATCCCATTGTTGCCTGCAATGTGAAGCTGAGTCAAGTTATCTTCATAACAAACCAGGGTCAGTGATGGAGTTGGCTCGATGTTGCACAAGTCTGAAGAGTTATAAAAGCCGTTCAGAACTGGTGGATAGTCAAGAAGCTCCTGGATTTTCACCAGGGTCTGATATTGAGAGGGTTGAAGTTGTTCTGAAAGATGAATGGAACAAGAACAAATGAGCATTAAGAGAAGAAAGTGATAAGAGCTATGGACTTGTTGTTTTGCCATGGAAACTAACACAGTTTTCACGAGCATGAAGAGCTCAGAGAGAACAAGGAACAAGACACAAGATTGGAAACAAATGGAGTCTTTCTGGGTTCACTTATCTTCTAACCTCGGTCAATGTTGATTACTAAAGATGCTGGTTTCATCGAGTTCTCAATTTGTTAATAATAAATGCATATACCAAGTTAAGGCAAGGCTGAAAGCCACCTGGAATTGTGAGTTCCAATGAACTGAAAAAAACAAATTATCCTAAGACTAATTACTTGGAACTTATGGCTAAAATTAAGCCAAATTACTATATGTAATTAAACTGTGAGCATAAACATGTGATATTAATTGCATCAACCACTGGAAGGAGAATATGGAAGCGTATGATTTAACTTTACATTTTGATGTAAAAAAATAGAATGGACAAATAATTAGACAACCCAGATGTGTCTTTGTCTTTGCACTGTATAAATGGCACATTTTACCATAAAGCAACCACACACTTCTCTCGATATTGTCACATTTTTTCATTAAAATACAATCTATTTCTTTTTCATCTTAAATATTACAGTATCCTTTTTCTATGCTCAAATGGAGGAAAGTATTGCTCATGCTACACTACTGTGTAAAGGAAATTTTTTAATCTCAAATTTACAATTTTTTTTTTTTAATTAAGGTATCCCGATCAATTTGCATGTATCTTGATTAATCGTTGAAGGAGATTAATGCAGCAATCACTTATAAATTTCATGTTCAGCTGGGAAAATATGTATATATACTGTGGAACCACAGTTACACCTAATCTAATTAGAAGAGTATAATTTAGGTTGAATAATTGTGATTAAAACGATGGTGCAATAAGATGCATGTATGTATATGCATAATTGAACCTAAAAAAGATGGAATTATTTTGAAAAAGAATGACATTTTGATATTGATAATCTTCTTCTTTCTTCAAAACAGGGACAAATGAAAGCAACCAGTATAAGAGACAAATTAAATAAAAACAAAAGAATGTGAACTGACAGTGTTTCACGAGAGGCAATGCAAAAGCAGGGAAGAAAAAATAGGTCACAGTCACATCAAGAATCCTAATCTCACTTTGAATATGTGAAGCATATCATCACAGGAGGCTTGGAAAATTTTCACATTCAATCTACAAATCAGAACATGCTACATATTCACATCTGCTATCCGATTGGTAATATGCAGATACCGACTAAAAAAACTTATTTAAAGCCATAAATATTTCTGATTTTTTATTTTTGTAAAAGTTATATTTCATAACAGTAAACTCTATTCCAATAAATCGTATCAAATGGACTCGAAATTTGGTTAGTCATGGATAAAAACAAGGATGAAGGGAAAGAGAAGAGATGAATCTATCTATTTTATTTAATAGTTGAGTTAAACTAAGAATTGATGGGTTAATACATATATAGAGCATCACCAATCTGAAAATCACTTGTTATCCAAGTGGTGGAAATTGCAGCAAAAAGCCAAGATGGATTGAAATAGATGTCGACTGTCCAATTAAACAAACAAAACAAGGATTATTTTATTTGAGTTAACAGCATTTACATTTTAAATTCTTCACGGGTACGAATGGTCGTTAATCATTGAAGATGGTGGTTGAGTTTCAATTATCCTTTCTCTAAATTCTGGTTTCTTTTTTTTTTTTTTTTTTTTGGATAATCAAGATGTCCAAACCGACTCATGTGTACTTTAATTAATCCTCAGAATCTATTAAATACAAACCAAAAAAATCAGATAAATCACATATAAATAATTCTAAAATTCAAACTCAGACAAACCTTTTTTACCGCTAAACCAACCTGGAGTTTTTTAATTTCTAGATTCTGGTTTCATACTTTCATTCTTGTAGTATTTATTTATTTTTTATTTCAATAGAATCAGCCTTTTTCAATTATGGTAATCATCATTGCAAAGACTTTTAATTATATAGCGTCAATAAATGCTGATATCTCCCAAAATATCACAAGCTTTAATGTGAATTAAATTAGGGGTAATTAATCTTAACCACCATCACCTAAATGCTCTACACTAAGATAAGATAATGTTACAACAAATCTAGTAATGTACATTCCAAAAAAATTAATAAAAAAATAAAAAAATACACATTTCATCTCCAGACTCCAAAACTTGTCACTCTTCAAGAACATATCTATTTCTTCTTGCACCAAAAGCAATTCTCTGCAGAGTTGATAAGAAAAAATTATCCAATGATCTTCTAGTAAATTTTGTCGTATGAACATAAACTAAATTTATTTTTATGCGGTTGCCTGATAATTATTTCAAATGAAAAAAAAAAAAAAAGAATGAAAGCATTTCACTCACTGAGAATATCTGAGAATAGGCCTTCACTCCAGTGAGAAAACGTAGGTAAGTTGATTTTGTTGATCCATTGGCAGGAATCGATCTGATTCTAGGAACAAGATACTCAGCAACCTGTTAACCCACCAGCCAAAAGTTGAAGAAAAGCCAATAAACAAGAATAATAAAAAGAAGAACATGCCTGCTATGCAATCTTTGTCTATATACAATATTTCACATACTCTTTTTAATATGCACACATACAGAATTGATGATATCCGGTTATTAGTTCTACAATTTTTTTTCTTGAATGTAATTATCTCTTATGCAAAGCACAGGTTGTGGATTTTCAAGGATTTGTATTTCATTGATTATGAATAAAGTACGAAAGATTGGTTATTAATCGGTTTTTGAATACACAAAAATCATTGAATATTGGTAAATAGGGACATCGTAAAGACAGCAAGAATCTCTAAATGATATGGTGCTGAAGAAAATATTACCACTTCAGCCGGTTCTGCCAAAACATTGATGAAAAACTTGGCCTGCAAAAAATCAGATATTCTGTTTGAGATGGAGATCAGCAGAAAGAGGGACAACGGCAAGAAATAGATATATATCAAACCTGCTTTGTAGTAGCACCAGACATGAGAAGATCAGTTGTCACCATTCCTGGCTGAAAACCAACCAAAACAAAGAAGAAAGAAAAACAAATTGAGCATGCATTATGGCAAGGGAAATGCAGAAGTATGAAAACTTATACGGTTGCTCTTGTTTCATTTAAGAAGCATTCATAAGAACCCCAAAACTATCCAAGTCAGAAATATCACGGTTTCTTCAGTAAAAGTCTCAGTAAGTCAACAATTTCTCATGCACTCCAAATATGTAGCATAAGAACACAAACACGAAGGAAGAGTGCCAAAACTATCTTTTTTATTTTCTAAGCATCTCTGGTAAAAACCGAGCTCAGAGGTTAACTTCAGGCTATAACTTTATCTTTGCCATTCTTTTATTTCCCAAATTCATTTTTCAGATTATATGTAGTAATAATCTACAAGACAAGATAAATTGTTGCGGCAAAAAAAGATCTTAAGTACTTCATTCTGTATGTATCAGAGAATGACTGAGGACAAGCTAACACAACCACAATGTTACTAACTTAATGGAGGCAATGAATAATGATAGAATCAATCCACCACATCGATTTTGACATCATAATAACTACTCAACAATTACTAAGGTTCAAATAAAATCAACACCTATAATTTCAACATAACATAATTTGCCTAACCACAGCAAAACTTACAGACAAATTGTGCACCACAACGTTTTTAACATCCTGCATCTGCAATTCTGCCTGTACAGATGAAGAAAAATCAATACAGCATTAGATATAGTAGATTAGAATAGTACTAATTAACATATTTCCACCAGTGTAGTCATATATTTTGAAAGAGAAAAAAAAAAAAATTAAGTGCATGCTAATTGAACACATGAGAAACAGTAGAAAGATAATAGACACAAATATTCCATAAACACAATAAAAACTTGAAAATTTTCTTTCCTAACGAAGTTCGATGGCTTTGCAATTTAGTTAAATATAGTGACATGTACCTGTAAAGATTTTGTTAAATGCACCACACTGCGTTTAGTCGCCCCATATGCAGCGAACCTATTTGAAAAAAAAAAAAAAATAAAAAAAATAAAGGAAATAAAGAGTAGTCATCAGCTTATAGCAGATAGCAGATTATCCCTGTCAACTATCTAATGCACCAAAAACAAAATATTCAATCTAGCCTATCATGAATTTTCCAGAAACATCATTCTATGGTATTGCAAGATTAGATGACACAATATATATGACATAAGGATCTCAATTTAAAAGAAGTAATTATGAAAGTGCAGTGAACGAACAAAGATAACAGAAAACATAAAACTATGTCATGCTCAATGAACTTTTAAGCAATACCTGGGTGTAGGTCTTCCATCTGAACCAGCTCCATCGATGTTGAAAATATGACCCCCTCGGGGTTGGTTATGCATCATTTGCATTGCCTAGTTAGCAATTCAGCATGAGAATAAGCCAGAAAATGCCACTTAAGAATAAAAAAAGCTTTTTACCTCTCGACAACAAATCATCAAACCAAGAGTGTTTGTGGTGACAACTTCACTGTATACAACAAAGAAATAAACCAACTGTAAGAATCACTCAATGGACAAACACTATTTCTTTCAAAGGAAAGTTGGAGTTTAAATAACTACATCAGATCTTCATCTGAAGCTTCTGCCAGGGGTTTATAGCTATACGCATTTGATCCTGCATTATTAATCTGCATCATTCTCAACATAGCGTAAGAGAGTAATAGCATAACTAAGGGCAATGAAGAGATCAGAGATTTCTTAAATAAATAGAAGATATCTGATAGGAACCCAATCCAATAACTCAATAATTTGGGCTGGGCCATGGGTCTTTCATGGGCTTGGGTAGAACTCTCCTTGGAAAACTGGCTTGCCAAGGGAGGGTGCCCAAGCCTTTATAACCCACATGCCCACCCTTTTTCCTTTCAATGTGGGATCCCAACAATATCTAAAATTATTTAATCCCGCATAAAGTGTGAGTCTGTGTAAGTTTGCAAGTGCATGTGTCCGGACATGCATCTTCTATTTGTTATATTTGTAGAACATCATATCGCAACCAACCACAGAAAGACTGATCATACATTTAGCATCAAACTAAGTATCAAAATAAGATTTGTATAACTAAAATGATTTTTCATGATTTCCTTTTGCAAATTAGAAATGACTTTGCAAAATTTACTCAGAATTACTGATGAGGAAAAATATACCAGATAAATTACCCACATTAGTGTCAGTTTGTGAATCTTATTCCAGTTCAGGATTGCTGAAAAATAGATTGCCCAAACTTATCTTTCACAAAGAAATATTGAAACAACATAAACTCTTCGTGATTGCTTAAAAGATGCCCCATAATCATTAACAGCAATCTTTGTTCTTCCCAAATCGATTTCATTAGGCAAATAATTTTTTTTTTCTATAAGCATTAGCATGATAAATAAGAAAAAATTAAAATTTATCAGCTGCAAACTCCAAATGACATTCTACTAAGTTCACCTCAACAATTTTAGTCTAGCAATACGAACACATAACCTACATCGTCACGGAACCACATAACTTGAACTATCTTAAGGTGAGTTTTTAACTTATCATCTAACCTAGATCCAAATCAATTCCAAATTGATAAAATATAACAACTATAACAATAAAGAGAAAAGATCTGACATAATTACCCATATATCAACATATTTCAGATTCTTTTGTGCAAATGCAACTAAATCTTTCACATCTTGCCCTTCTCTAACATCACACTTTGTACCCTGTAAAGAATAATAAAATTCAGAAACGGCTGAAGCCCAGAAAAACATTGAATTTTAAGGGGGGAAAGAAGAAGCAAACACGTTCGCAAAAAGGCACACATATATATAAAGAAACAATAACAAGGGGAAAACAAGTCATGAAGGGGCTACCCACACATGCTGCTCCCCGAATTCTTCTCTCAGCCTCAGAATGGCAGATTCCACGTGCTCGGCTGTCAAAGAATCAGAACTAAGAATAGTAAACATTAGCCATTTCCTATAACAAAGGCAAGTCAAGTTGAGCTTTTCTTAATCATACAATTCAGTAAGTAAAGCAACCATTATATGCATAATAAGAAGGAATTTTTTTTCTTTTCATCTGTATTATATTTTCTACTTGTTGTATAGCAATCGATGGTCTATTTATGCCAATAAATATTAACCGTTTCCTCAAGCTGCAATATATCACATATATTCCTTCACAGCATGCTTCTTAAAAGTCACCTCAAATGAGATTGATTATTGCTGCTTATATTGCAAATAAGAAGCAATATTCTCCTACTAATCACTATTTCTCTACTGAGGCCAATTTTTTCAACTATTAGCCAAGTTCACCAATCCTCAACTAGGTACACTGCATAATTATTTATCACATAATCAAGATCTACACTTAGATATATGATTAAATACAGCCCATGATGAGATAAATGTTCTGTTAGATTGAAAAAGTTTTTTATCCAAAGACAATTACATTATAAGTTAGGAAGGTTCCAACAAATGGAAGCGAAGTCCTCACCTGATCTTGAGCAAACTATAACATTGTCACCTGCTTTTAGAAATTCTTTAGCCAATGCATACCCAATTCCTAAATGAAAAGAAAAATTAAATTCAAATTTGATAACAAGAATAGGATAAATAAATACCCCCAAAAAAAAAAAAAAAAAAAAATCTGAACATTAGAGAGAGATCAAACTTCAGAACATCAGTACCACATAGTTCCCTCAGAAACAAAAATTCTAAGGATGATGGAAAGAAAGAAAGTGCTACAATCTAATATCAAATGTAATAGTCTTAACCAATGATAAAGAAAAAAATATTTCCATAAATGACAAAGTTACACGTTGGAAGTCACTAATTCATGAAAGAGTTAACTCTCCAACCTAACGAATGATGCATATTGCTCCAAATAAAGGCAAGACATCAGGCGCCTATGACAATCCGTTGTTCTGAAAACTCTGAGTAATATTACTAATAACTCCACATCATGCATTTTCTAACCAATAATTGATTTAAGACCCTTGTGCATACTTTCAACAACAACAAAACAAGCAATGATACGAACATAAGCAACATATACGCTTTCAGAAAAACTACAAAACCGAATGCGTTCGCCTACTAAAATGATCATTTAAGTCATAATTCCCCTTTCCTTATCACGCACATATGAAATTCACAATCAAAAAAATTTCAAGATTGTCAAAAAATATTGTTCTTCTCTATTAATCAAGTAGCAACCTAGTAATACAAACAAGAATACTTCTACACTACAATCATATACCAGAATCAGCAACAAATTAAACAACCCACATGGAAAAACCATAAACAGCTTAAATAAATAAAAAATTAAGAGGTGAAAGAGAAACCTTTGGTGGAACCAGTGATGAGGACATTGTAAGGAGGCAACATTGGCTCTTTATTGACAGAAGAATCAGCTTCAGCTCTAACAGTTGGAGAAGTTAATCTTGAACTTGAAGAACGAGAAGGTTTGCACAGAGAGTATGAGTTTCGGCGGGAACCAGCGGTCAAGCAACCGTAACGGTCATGTGGGTGGGGGTTAGAATGGGAAGGGAAGAGCAATTCCTGAGTTTTGAAAGTGAAAGGAGGAGAAGATAAGCAAGTAACAGTGGTGGCCATTCTTGGTTATTGCACAAACAAACTACCCACTTGGATGATGCACAAAAAAAGGTGTGGCTAGAATGTAGTCTGAATATATATATAATGCATTTTGTGGTGACATCATTTTTGTATTAATTTCGATTACAAAGTGTTAAAAATATTCATAATATATATATATATATTTTTTATTTATAAGTGGTTGTTTGATATTTTCAAGTCGATTTTAATATTTTTAAAGGTTTATATATATATATATATATATAAGTGATGGTTTTAATGCTTTTTGAATGAAATAGATGAATTAATACTAAATAATCTTATAGAAAAAAAAAAAATTCCAGGATAAAAATAATAAAATTAATAGAGATCCAATTTATTTTCTTTTTCGGGTTTTTGGTCTTGACCCTCTAACGTTTAATTAAATAATTTTTATCTAGAAAAAACATAAATTTTCTTATTGTTGGAGAGTTGTTAATGTATTACCATAATTTACAATACAATGAGTTTAATGAATATTTACTTAATTATATCTTTATTGTTTTATTGTTTAAACTTAATATGTAGTACTGAAATTTTTGTTATTATTATAATACATAAGGGGATTATTATTATTATTTCTTTTTTAATAAATACTAATATTATTTAGTATGATGTTTTATACTAGATCAATCAGTTAAATTTTCGATTGTCATACTGATTTAGCATAAACTGGTGTTATATAGTATAAAATAAGTACTTTATACATACATACATACCTACGTACATATATGATATCGAGGTTAAGGTAATGAAATCAACACGTATAATTCTATGGTTATTTTATCCTTTTTTTTTTTTTAGTCTTTTAAACACAATCAATTGAAATTAATTTTCTTTTTGGTTAACCTGAAAATATTTAATTTGATTTGAATTTGGTAAGGGATTCACTCATTTATTTATTAAAAATAGACTAATTTTTAATAAGAAATGCTAATTACGTTTGTAACAAAAAAGATATTTAGGGTACGTTTGGTTCAAGGAATGTTATATTACTGAGGAATGTTATATTACTGAAAAGATAGATTACTAGGGAATCTTTAGAGAAATGTGTTTGGTTGGTTAGAATAAATTGGTGGGTATATTATAATAATATGTTTGGTTGGGAAGATAAATGAAAGGGTATGTTATGTAGATTACTAATTTACCCTCCTTTTTAAATAATAATATAATATTATTTTATTCTATTATTTTTTAAATTATTTCTTTTAACCCCCCTATATTTGAAATTTTACTAAAACACCAAACCATATACAATTTTAATTTGTAGCAAAATCACCCTTACTCACCCCCAGCCACCGTCGACAGCCAGCCACCACCGCTGGTAGCCACTGTAATGACGCACAACCGGCTAGATCTGGCTGGTCATGCGTCGGTAAGGCCTAATCCGGCTAGATCTGGCCGTGAATATGGTCGTTTCATGGTCAAAGATGTGGCCGTGAAAGGGTCAGATCTTTGGCCATGAAACAGCGGCCATTTCACCATTAAAGATCTAGCCTTTTCATGGCCAAATCTATGGCGTTTCATGGCCATATCTGGTTGTTTCTGGCCATAGATCACAAATCCATGGCCGAAAACGTCCTTACTAACACACGATCGGCAAGATCTTGTCGATCTTGTGTCGATATGACGACTTTTGCCGACAGCTAGCGATGGTGGCTAACGGTTGGCAGTGGTCTTGGGTGATTAGGGGTATTTTGTTAACTTTTAAACTTTTTGTGACGGGGTGTTTTAGCTAAATTCTCAAATGTAGGGGTCTAGGCTAGTTGTTATTTGATAGACATATGAGGACAAATGTGTCCGAAATGACAAAAGATTAAGGGTAAAATAGGGTTAAAATTAAGATTACCTTGGTAATCGAAGATAATCTGATTACCCTCAATATTACCAACAGTAAATACTATTTGCAATAAAAGATTATGTAATATTTTATTACTTCGCAACCAAACGAGAGAATCTTGAAAATTAAACAAAGATTACATGATTAATCTTATATCACCCCGAACCAAACACTACCTTAATTAATTTATAATATAGAAACAATAAACAAATACTATTATATTTAAATAAAACCAATTCAATTTAAATTAAATTTCTTTTTCTTAACTCAAAAATATTTAATTCCATTGAATTTGGTTAATGGACTTACTCATTTGTTATTATTTTTTTAAAAATCTCATATTTGTTCCGGCTCGGGTCAATCTTTGATGGGTATCCGACTATCCGGTTTAAAAGTTCATCTCAGTCCAAATAACAAAATCAAATCAAAACTAACACACAAAAACCCTAAAAATGTACTCTCTCCGTCAAGCTCGTAATTTCTCTGCTACTTCTCTTCTTCGATTCTATGGCCGTCCCCATTCAGTTAATTTTCCAGGCAAGTTCTTTTCTTTATTTTTTTTTAATTATTTTTTTTTAATTTTATGAATTTTGAATTTCATACTATTTGTAGCTGTTGCTTCTGAGAATTCTAGGCCCCAGAGAATTGATTCATTGGTTTATTTTTTATGTTGCAACTTAAAAAGAACGATATTTTGATGGGTTTATAGTTGTTAATCATAACTGGTTTAATTTGAAACTTTTTTTGAGATTAACTGTGAAAAGAAATAACTTTTGAAATTTATTGAACTTTAATTGAATTACCCATCTGTTTTATTAGGTATTTATGTACTTTTTGCTGTTAAAAAAAAAAAAACGATGCCTGTTTATATTTTTTGTGGCGTAAGTTTGATAATTTTGTTGTGATGGAATATTTTATTTATTTATTTATTTTTCTGACTTGTAGGGTTTAGAGAGCAGAAATGTGGAGGAAGTGAGAATTCTATGTTGCAATTTTGGGGAATTTGGGGATGAGTTTATTTCAACGAGTGCAAAGGGAAGTGCTTTTGCTCCATATGCTTTAGGTTTTCAGAAATATGTGCATTCAACAAGTCAAAGGATTTTGAGAATGGAAGGAATTCAAGGCCAATGGACTTTGTGAGGGATTCAAGGCCGACGGACTTTGTGGGGATTCAAGGCCGACGGACTTTTGAGGGATTCAAGGCCGAGACTTTGGAGGTTAAGGCCATGAACTTTGGGAGGGATTCAAGGCCAATGAACTTTGAGGGTTCAAGGCCAGACTTGTGAGGATTCAAGGCCAATGACTTTGAGGGGAGTAATAGAGAAGATGGAAGGGGTTTTAGGAGGCATTCTCAGTTCCTCGCTATAGTGTGGAGCAAAATGCTGATGTTGTCCATATGAGTTTTTGTTTAACAACACCTTTGTTACTGTGACAGATTCTAAAGGAAATAAAAATGGGGGCCTCTTGGGGATTTTTTGCCTGAACTCAAAGGAGCTGTAAAAATGTCTCGTTTTGCACCTGACGCACTGCTGAACATGTCGGCATTGGCAAAAAATATGGGGTTGAAATCTTTTGTGATGAAGGTCAATGGCTTGCTTATTTTAGGAAAAAAGCAAGCAATCTTGAGTTTTAGAGAGGGGTTTGGTAATTCTCGAAATCAGATCCTATTGTATACATGAAGACACAACTCGAAAGCCACATAATGGATCCGCCTCCGAAAGCAACGCCGCATCTGAATGTAGCTGGCCACTGCTTTTATGACTGGGAGGAAGCTTTTGTCCAGTGGTTGGTGAGGAGCTCAAACTCATTGAGATTTCAAATCCTCAAGGAACCCTAAATACCCTGCTCATTCCCAAGTCTTTTTCTTTTTTCTTCCTTTGCGGATGTTTATCTAAAGTCATGATCTTGCTTTTCTCTGAATTTTGAAAATGTGTACGATTATATTCCATAGAAACTTTTGTAGTGAATTTTAATTTCCTCTCCATATTTGTTCATAAATATTCTTCTCCATAGGCATTCCACTCGTTTTTGCTAGTTAGTGGCATTGCCTCGTCTCTGAATTTATTCAGCTGTCTTCAATATGAGAAAAATTGATTATCTTGTTATAATTTAACGGAAATACAACTGTCCATAGTATAGATGAGAGCCCCTTTTTTTTATCTTTGGGGTGAGAAGTAGAAGTGACTGCAATTCCAGATCATATTTTGTGTCTGCCAAATCTTGCTTGAAGGATTAACATTAGATAAATGACCATTTTATCTGAATTCTATTAGGATATACTTTGAAAGCATTAGAAGAAGATGTAAAATAGTGTTGGACGTTAGTGTTGGATTATTAAAATGCCACTTTTATTGTCATCACGTGCTGGGTTTTGATATTAATGCTTTAGAGAAATTCTGCTTTTCTTCAAGGTTTGAGTGGTTTAGATCTCTATTTTCTAAGAAAGTATAGGGTTTTACTTACATTAGTTTACCTAATTGTGATATTATATCCCACAAAATTTTTACTATGATGGTTTTAGTTGTTGCAAGCGTGCTTAATCTGTCTTTCTTGATTCAAAAAATTATGTGGTTGTTTAATAAGTTCATGCCCTCATATATGCTGGCTTTTTTATGCTAATAAGGCTAGAATAAGATTTGAAGGTGGCATATTGTTGGACAGTTGGGTAAGTGTAGATCAAAATAAAATGATCTTGGTCATATTTATTGATAACATGGAAATGGCTATGCCTCCTTTCCGTTGTCGATATAAAAGCTTGGTTTATATTGAGACTGCGATGCACAACATTCTGTTTTGCAATGTTAGATCTGAAAACCTGTTTCTTTTTCTTCTTTGTTGTTTCATTGTTTTGCAATTTGAAAGATGTGTGATTTGTTAACGTTAAAGATTGGTTTAGCGTTTAAGAAGTTGAGTTTGAACCACAGGATCAATGAGCGTTGATGTTGTATTCTTCAAGTTTCTTGATTATTAAGGAGTTTGTCTGACAATATTCTTCAGTTTAGAACTCGATGAATATGTAAAGAAGGTAGAGGAATATTTAGGTGGAAATGTGTGAACAGATTTTTCACGGCTTCTCTTATCAAAACAAATGCATAAAAAGACTTGAATGCATCTAGTTCCTTCGGTTTTTGTTTTCATATTTAGCATTATACTCTTTTTGTTACGGTTCTATG